ATACTTTGCTTTTTTTCGCATTTTTGTGCTGACTTATGATTAAGTTAGAATGTGTCTCAATAGGGAAGGATAATGTATTTTTATAAAAAATGAAACTGACTAATAATAAAATCCAATGGGCATCATTCAGCCAACGAAGTCAAACAGCAAACATTTTTGATCTGGATTAATACTGTTTGCTACTTTTCAATTTTTATGTTATATTTATCACAGTATATGTTTTTCACTGTTATGGAGCAGCCCTGATGAAAGGAGAACGGCTTTGAAGGAATAATTCTCTCAATATGCAAGACAATTTTTTCTCAGCAGTATATCTTTTGATTTTCTAGGTCTTGGAAAAGTTCGCAATTTCATCATCTTAATTGAGGAAAAATATGTGACCACGACGAAGGTGCGATAATAAAAAAAAGTCTGATGCATATTGTACAATTTTATCCATGAAAGTAGTAAAGTATTTGATAAACTTGTTCTGGTCTCTCAAAAGCCAGCAGGCCAGGCCAGGTCAGGCCACAGGCCAAACACCTTATTCTTAGCCTGACCTGCCATTCGTACTGGCCTGGTCAGGCCAGGCGACCAGACCAGGCCAGGCTGAAAAAAACTGGCCTGTTGGCAGCTCTGGTTCATATGTGATTTTCAAATATATGATATGAGGCCAGTTGTAAATAAAAAGAAACTTGAGAACAGAAATAGGCACCTTGAGTACGTGCAGACGAGGTAATCGGCGCAAAAACACGATAAGTTGATTAACTGACTTCTGTGACCAACCAGAGCTTATCGAACATGTACTGATTCGCGTTACATCAAGAATCCGTGTCAGATATGGGACAGTATTGATCAATGCTCTACCATCTTCTGATAAATTCAATTCGGCAACATGGGTATATCGATGTATAAGTATATAGTTTGTCAGGAAAGACCAGTTCATATTCAAATAAGGAGTACGAGGAAATGATGTTGGTTGTGATCCAGTCGATTCTGTCATTATAATTGGCTGTATAAGTTCGAATGAATAGTCATTGTTGCAAAGAGGATTCAAATAAAGCATTAAAAAACCATCTATGCTTTTATCATAGGTGAAAAATCATTTTTTTTCACGCCAGAATTTCGTACAAAATGAATCGAGATTGATTGGCTGTTGTATGAACACATCTGGAACGAAAAAAAATTGAAACTGAAAATGTTTGATTTTTCGTAACAATGGTTCCCAGGCAATACCATCATCTATATCTTCTCATATGTCATCAGCTTACAATGTCAAATGAGTTAGTTGTGGGAATAACGAGAGTAAAGATACTATTTTCAACCAAGTTATATTGTAGAGTTTGATTGACAATTGATATAAATGAAATGATGGAGAAGGAATCTTAGTGAATGTCATGTCTAACGTAAGTAAAAGTTTACATCAAGTATGCGAAGCATAGGTGCAATGACAAATAGACTTGGTAAATCGATATCAATACCATCTAAATAAAAATATTGTGCTGAAGACAATACTGTTGAACTCGATGAGTGAATGATAATTCTATCATGTGAATAATCAGCCATCCTATGTGAAAGCTTTTTGAGTGAAGGTAAAAAGAGTACTTCATTGGGAACATTTGATGTCAATAAAGGAGTTACATGTAGATCAGAATTAATTAAATGGATGGAAAGTGTCATAAGCTCTGATGAAAGTCGAGTTTTTAATAAACACCATGTATCATAGTTAATGTGTGTCAAAGTCAAAAGGCGAAGGTTGACAAATATACCATTGATGGTATGGAGTCGTGAGAATAATAAAGTATTCATAGCTGTTGTTGCGGGAAAGTCTTCATCGTCGTGTGCCAACGAAACTATGCGAGAACTTAGACGAATTAATTGAGCGCAGACGATGTCAAATTGATTTTTTTTCAACATAGTCACACGATGAAAGTTCAGTCGAAATCGAGAACATGCTAGAAATATCGATCGAAGTCGTTTGTTGACCAGACATACAGAGGAGAGAATATCGAAGATTGAAGCATTATTGAGAATTTTCTCAATTAATTCCACTGGTAATATACTCAGATAGTCTGACATATCTTGTCGAATCACTTGAATGTTGTTTTTCTACTTTCTAACGAGCATCATTGTCGAGATTAGCGACAAAGTCACTTCTCCAGTTTGTTACACTACTTCAAGAAAAGAGTTTTCAAAAAATCCCAGTAAATTGTGGATAAACAGAATAATCTGTTCAACTTTCTCGGTTTGTTTAATCTTGAGGGAATCAAGGTCCCACTAAATTAAAAAAAAAACACGTTCGTTATGGCAACACAGCTTCAGTCAAATAAAGAAATATTTTCGACTAGCTTTTTGCTGTAAAAACACATGAAATTCTAAATAAACATTGAAACATAGATAAGTAAAAAATCGATGACAAAATTACGAACATTCTTCCAAGAAATCTTGATCTGACTTATCATTGTTTATGGCAATAGACTTCTCAATGATGGCGATCATGATTGTCTCTGTTATTATGCAAAATTGAAGATTAATTGAAGGCGACATCTGATATCTTACTACTCTATGGGCAGTCGAATAAAACTCAATCGATTTCAAGCATAATCTAAGCAAGTACGAATATAGCAGTCTGCATAGTGATTGACAAATTTTCAGTACCATTATTTTGAACCAAGTTGATAACATCGTTTGACAGCACTTGCCGAAGCACTATCAGATAATGAAATAGTAATAGGTAGTTCAATTGCTAGCATAGTCCACAGAATATCCCCACGTACATTTCCATAAGTTGAAATTACCGATAAAATATCAAGAATGGAAAGCTGGCACGAAACCGACTATGTTTTGACATCACTTCATAGTAACTTTAATACATATGAGAGGAAGTAAAGTATCAACAATTCAAAATTTGAACAAATTTTATTCGACTTCTTTTTAGTCAAAATTTGAGTATGCAAACAACATCAGATCACTTACTATGGTTATTGATCCAACATTTTTTGTCATTTTATCTGAAACAATAATTTCATGCAGTTTTACAAAATCGGATAAGCACATATGTGTAGGGTTTTGAACGTCACTCTTGTGCAATGGTTCTTGTGATATATTCTACTCTATTTATATTATATACAGAATAGCAAGCATTGGATATTTTCCATAGATAGTTGTACTTTTCCTATATTCTATTTTTAGGAAATATGAAAAGTATTGTCAATTATTTAAAACGCAAGATGAGGGTGTGAGTGTGGGTGTAGTTCTTCGTTTGATCCACAGCCACGCCCACACCCACATCCACACTCACATCCGTACCCTGTCACATTTGCTAATGTCGATGCAGTATGCTGCCATCGTGCCATACTCATGTTTCCAGTATTTGTCCATGATCCTGTTGACGGATCGTACAATTCCGCACTCGCTAAATAATTTCAATCGTGTTGTCCACCAGCAACTAGCACTTTTCCATCTGTTAATACAAAAGCTGTGTGATGCCACCGAGGACTAATCATGCTGCCAGTGTGTGTCCACATTCCTCCGGATGGATCATACAGTTCTGTAGTAGTTTCTGAATTGGCATCCAAATATTCAGTACTAACTAAAACCATTCCATTGGTCAAGATAGATGCAGTGTGATATTATCGTGCAGTACTCATGTTGCTTGTGTACAGCCAACCTGAAAAGAAACATCAATACGTGAGTCATATGGTTTACACGTGGAATCTATGCATAATTCTTATGAGAAAGATATTGATCGATATGTTACTTCACAATCCTGCTCAAATTGCAGATAATATTGATTCATATTTTTCCTATTCGAAGAAATAAACTGTCGAAAAGATTATGCACCCACATCCTCACAGAGATCTTGAAGAGATATGGAATTAACAGTATCAATACATATCCCCATATCCAAAAACAGGCACTTGTGTGAAAGTCTTTGTTCATATATAGAGAAAGTTTCGATTTTCAAGTTAACAGTGGTGTTATGGCATTGATTTTCGAATTGAAAATTATCTTATCAGAAATTCAGTAACACTAATCTATCTCGTGCAAAATACCCTAGTCAGTTTTAGCACAGAAAAACATCCGTTACGACAGTGACAATCGAGAAAAATTACCACTAGCCATCATTTCAACGCCTTTCGACACTATGTTCAAGCTTCTTAACAAGTTCCTGCATCCAAAATTAAATGATGGTATCATTTAAGGACCGAATCTCCATCATAGATGTCGATCATCAGTGTCTATAGAGCAATGGAGCCCGAATGCTTTCTGGAAATAGAAAACTGATCTAAGTTTTAATCTAAGTTTTTCGTCGAGTCAAAGTTTTGAGAAAAAAACAACAACAGTGGAGTGTGAAGTGATTAGAAGTTGTCAAACATGGATCTAGTCCCAGAAATATTTCCAGATATTTTGTTGGGATGCTCTCGCTCGATAGAGAAAGTAAAAATGAAGAGCTTCCATTACCACTTCTATCTTATGTTTGCTCAAAAGTCGAGATATGCTTTTTTTTCAATATACTTACGCACAATGGCTTTCACAGTTGATCAATAAATAGAGTGAATTTTTCTGGTAAGTTCATATCTCGACAACAACATCGGTCATCATGAATTGATTTCATCCATACTGCAGCCATTAGCATACAGGGCGGGTGTGGATGTTGGTGTGACGGTGTGGGTGGGGTGTGGGTGTGGGTGTGGGTGTGAGTGGGTGTGAGGGTGTGGGTGTGGACGTAGGTGTGAATGTCGGCCTAAAAGAATCTCATACCTCACACCTCCACCCACCAAATGATAAACCATGTGTTTACTTTGATTTAATTATATTTTATATCTATGTGCAATAGAATCATAGCTATTCATTGTTTTAAATTCATTGATTTCCTTAATTTTAAAATTCACTCCAACATTAGTGTATGATATCGAAAACAAGAACGCCAGCATGGTCATTAATATTTTAGTTTCTATCTCCAACTACTAGTGATATTGATCATGATGATCAAGATTCAACAACTAATACTGATGATCGTTGTTTATATTATATGAACTTGTGATTGAAAACAGCGAAAATTGAAAAATAAAATAAAACAAATAAAAAATATAGAATATATAAACAACGTTTTGATCTTAAACGTATCTATCTATCTTTTAAACCTGCTAAAAATTAAACCAATAGAAGTTTTGAACATGATCGCATCAAATACCGAAATAGTGTGGATATGAATGAATGCTTGAATGCGGTAACATAGACAGCGGAACGATTTCAATCTAGTTTAGACTCAACTAGAGCTAAGAGAAGCCTTTAACTAATCTGCGGTAGGCTCGTGTCTACACATACCTAATGACTTCTCCGCCTATGTATGCTAGTGAATATGGGTCTTCAGTGTGCATATTCACACGTTGTAGAAAAATTTCATGGAAATATGTTTTTAGTTTTTGCTTCAGAAATTTCCATTTTTCGAAATAGTGCATTTCCATTTGTCATAAATGTTTGTCTCATGAATGCTGAATCGATTTGTATAACAACTTTTTTCTAAACTGAAAAATGAGTTTGTAAATTTGTCTTTACAATGAAAAGATGCAGTAAAGCACCCACACTCAAAGTAACTATTTTTCGATCTCATTAGATCATGTAGTAGTAAGAAAGTTATAAGCTTAAGAGGATGTTTCGCACAAAATAAAAATTAACCGTGAATTTTTTTAGAATAAAAAAAAATAGCAAATGAAGATTTAGAGAGAGACAACCATGACGAATACAATGATACTATGATCTCATCAAAGATGAAGATTATAAGATATCTGACATTAACTATGCTACAATAACTTTCAAGTGATTATGAAAGTGAGTTCAATGCTTAATCTGTACTCAATCCAGTATTTTCTTTTCATATTCTGAAACATTCACAATTAATTTTTAATTTTCGTGAAATATTCTTATAAACTTATAACTTTCGTACTAGATGGCATAGTAAAGTCAATCATTATTTATTTTGTAGGGAGTTCTACTACATCTGTTCACTATTGGAACAAATTTACAAATACATATTTCAGTTTAGAAAAAAATTATTATACGAATTGATTCAACATTTCTGGGTCACCATGTACATAAAGATTTTAGGAAGACTTTTTGATTATCATTAGCTAAAACATTTATTTCAAAATTTGAACAACTTTTATGTTTAGCATTTGATTTTTGTCAAAAATGAATAATTTCTTTACCAGTGATGATTAATTAGAACCCATTGAATCAGAAAATAACATTCAAGTTACATTTCTTTTTCATGTATATTTCTTACGCATATTTTTAAAGCTTCTATCTTCTATTTATTGATAAAATGAACAAATTCTAACTCATTGTGCACTGCTTCTAGTGAGCATTTTAAGAGTCTATAAATGCAATACAAATTTTAGGACTTCAGAAATAAATACAGAGATTAAGAGAAACAAAGAATCTTGAAAGATTTTAAAAAATTTTTCTCTTTCCTCAACTCAGTTTTGTTTGTTGTGTCTAATCCACATGTTTCAAACATTAAAAAAAACTGACGAAAATCATTTCTTTTTTTCAAAACCGTCTTTAAAAATAAGACCCTATACGCATTAATTTCACCAAAGAATATCAATGGCTGCCAATTTCAACAGTGTTCGAGACAATATCAATCAAATCGAAACTCATTTTGATAAATTATGCAACGAAGTGATTTTAAATCTAAATGAATTCAGTGATTACATAAAATTCACAAAAGATCTGTGCAATCAAGTACAAGAAATGATTAAAATCTTAGAAAACGAAGTAGTTCATGTATCGAATGAGAAAAGGAATGGAAAGATATCAAAGCTAAATTAGCAACAACATCAATTAAAGACAAAGTATTACTCGATGTAGGAGGTGAAAAGTTTTCTACAAGTATTGAGACATTAACACGTGAAAAAATACGTTCTTTATCGTACTCTTCTCACAACAATGGCAACTTGAAAGAGATCCTGGCGATAAAAGTATATTCATCGATCGTGATGAAAAATTGTTTAATCATATTTTAGCATATCTAAGAACAAATAACGTATTCAGTGATATAATCTTGAATGAGCCGCTGCATGAACTTCTTCTTAGAGAAGCTGAATATTTTTGTTTACATTCTCTTAGAGATAAATTAAGGGATATTTATTTTTCAAATGGAACATACCAAAAAACTGAATGAATTTTATTGTAAGTTTAATCAACACTGGGAATTAATTTATAAAACACCACATGATGACTTTGATGCAAAAACATTTCATTCCCGTTGTGATAATCAAGGACCAACAATGACGATTATTCTATCAAATAACAATTATCTTTTTAGGTTATACAGCTATACCATGGACTTCGGATAATTCAAACAAGAGTGATACAACAGCATTTTTATTCACTTTGACCAATCCTCATGGTATTCCACCGACTAAATACTGCATCGATCCTCCTAAAGCATGAAACGCAGTTCGTCATTACAGTACATTTNTCGAAAGACTACACTTCTACCGTAGTTTTTAAATGAATTCCGTGGTCTCACTCAGAAACAACAGAAAAAAAAATGATTTCCTAGTTTTGTCTTGAAACTTTGCATAGAAATAGGCCTGAATAAGAATATTTTTTTTTAGTGATTCAGATTTTGACGTTCTTTCGATTTTAAGATACAACTATAGTAATGGTGTGTCTTTTACATCTCTCATATAAATCGCCAGATTGAATATTCTTATTTCGAGATAGAAGCAAATCAAAAGATCTACAACTTTCACAATAAACTATTTTTAAGTAACCGAAAAATGAGTGAATATTTTCCTGTTTTATTTATGTTTCTCTACTATAAAAAGTTCTATTGATTATATATTTTATTGGAGAAAATTCATACAGAAAAATATTTCTTATTTGTTTAGATCTGATCGTTTAACATGTTTAGCAACAGATAATTTTCAACCAGTACACAGTCTTTTCGAACGATTTGAACATTATTTTCATTCATCACGTGTTCTTTTTCGTACATGTCAAGAAAAACATCCAATAACTGCTGATTTATGTTTAAAAATCAATAGTTATTTTTTATTTGATTTTTTTATTGGTATTCTTCTTACAAATCGTTCATATTATAATAATTTAAAAACATTTATTAAAAAACTCGGTGAAGATTCATCAATAATACGTTCAATTAATTTATATTTAACATCTAATTTATCATTTGTTATTAAATATGCTCAATATATATTTCGTTTTGCTATTGCTATATTTCAACATTTATCATTTGGTAATTTTCCAACAATAACAACAACAAATAATTCATTATCATCAACAAATTTAATTCATTTACAAATTGGTTTACAATTAGCTTTTATGCTAATTGATTTATTGTTTTCAATTAGTGATCAAATTAAATATTCACCAGATTTTCATGAACAAATCATAAATGTACTTGTTCGTATGGCAATTTTATTTCAAAATCGATATTTACAACGATTACATATACTTAAATTATTAAAACGTTTTTGTTATCGATATAAAACGAAAATGTTAAATTGTGAATCATATTTAAAAAATCTATTTGAATATATTGATACATTTCGTGTATATATTATTTGATTTGTTTTTGAAAACAATTTTTAATATTATTGAATATTTTTTGTTTTAGGGTGATCATCTTCGTTTGGTATTTTCTATTCTTGCTTCAATGTATAATACAGGTGTATATAATGATCTAAATATGTTTGTTACTAAATGTTTAATTCAACCATATAAAGAAAAAGCTCGTGGTGTTTTTGGTGCTATTGAAATTTTTCGTTCACTTCTACTTAGACATGTAGCAGATTTAACACAAGCACCAAGCAATGGTAAGATCGATCGAATTTTTATATTTTTTTTATGAATGAATAATAATCGCTAGATAAAAAGTGATCTAATAGTTTTATGAAACTGTTGAAGTCTGCTAAATCTCTATGATTAAATAATCATAACCTTGCTTTCCGTTTCATATTGTTCCTTCGCCGAAAAGAATTGAAACATTAGTTACTATTTCATGACAAATCAGATAGCGAATAAAGAACAACTTCGGTAAATAGAGTTCGGTTGTTTTAGAATATTTTATAATATACCAATGAGAACTACTTTCACTAAGATAGATTTTGTTTTGTAATGAGTCTTCTAATCTCTGCATCTACTATTGGTGATTTACGAGGAAAACTTCTTAGATGTCCTCTTCTGATTTTATTGGATTTTTACTTATTGATACTTAATAGCTTTCTAATAAAAAGCCTTTTAAAATTTTTTATTAGAAGACCATCTATTATTTATAGGCAAAAAAACCATTGAAATCGGAAAGATGAACATCTGCGAAGATTTTCTTGTTACTTATGAATATATATTAATATTATTATATAGTAAAAAAATATTCATTCTACACAATATAAAATGAATTAGCTCTTTAGTCTTCTCAGATCGTTGAAATGACCATTCGTAAAGTGATTACTAAACTAAGTGATGTATAGAATTCTAAAGCTTCAAAAACATATTTTGCAGAAAACTTCATGAACTATCGATTACAAAAAAAGAACATTTCATTCGATCACTCCTTCTTCGAAATATCAGGCTTTAAAAAAATGCTTTTGTTCATTCAGTACTATCCTGAAACATGAAAAAGACAATGTTTCTCATGCCGTTCAATCTACTTTTTCTACCACAGTCAGTAGAGTGACCAAAACTATTCTGAACGAAGAGCAGGACATCTGATGGATCTGACTATACCATTGATATATTAGATAGGTTAATACTCTTTTTATCAGATCAAGTAGCTCTTCTAAAATTGTTCTGAGATCCGCACGGTTCTACTAATCGTCCATATCATTCAAAAGATTTATTTTAAATTCAATGGCTACTTCATATTCACCATGATCATATTCTTTAATAAAATATATAATCTAGCGATTTTTCTATCAAGCTTCTTATTGAAAAATTTCATAAACATCTAGTTTGAAGGAAACAAAAGAAAAATCTATATGAATATTCTCATTCATTAACATGATTTATAATATTTTGTTTGATCAATTTATTTAGGTAATATTCGTCTTGATGGAAAAATGACTAATCATGAAAATGAATTAAAAGATCTTCTTGGTCTTGTACAAGCATCTGGTATGCAATGTCCACAAACATTAGCATTATTCTATGATGAATTAGCAACAATACTTGGTTCAGCTAATACTCAAAAATTACAACAACAACAATTCAATGCATCATCAACACAAATCGATACACAATCTATTAATTGGTTTGCTATATCAGCAGCTGATATGTTTCAAGAAGCATTTCTTAATGATACTAATATATCAGTAACGTCAAATTCACTTGATATAAATCGTTTTGCACAACAAACTCGTATTGTTTATAATTTCGATGGACAAACAGCAAATGCAGCAATACTTAATTTAGCAAATATTATTTCGAAATATCATCAATATCGAACAATGAGTGATACATGTTCATCACCAATATTATTAGCACCAATGTTACGTTTAATTGTTTTAGCATCATGGTCAAATATAGATCAAGTTGATGCTGTTCTACAATGTTCATTACGTATACCTGATATAGTATCATCAAATAATATTGATATTGATGTACCAAAATCTTTAGAATATTATCGTGAAAAATTAAATGAACTTTCAAATTTATCATTAAATATTTTATGTGATGTTTATTATTATGCCAGTCGATTATTTCGTGAAATATGTAATTTACTTTCATTAGTTATTAATCAAAATGAATCATTAATAACAACAAGACTTGAACAATTAACTGATATTGAAGAACATTTTTCTATTTGTGTACAAATATGTCGACAAAAATATGGATTTTATGAACCAATTTGTTCTAATATTGAAAGAAATAAAATTAAGAAATTTACAAAAAAAATTACAATTAATAAAATAAGATCAAATAAACAAACACAAGGAACTAAGTAAAAATATGTTTTGATATTATTAATTAGTTTGAAAAAAATAAATGTTTTATTTAGACGATCTGTTCCAATAACAGATGATGAAGAAGATGAAGAAAGTAAAAGTGAAGATGAAGAAAATACTAATAAGAAGAAATCTCGCACAGCAATAGTATCAAAGCCAAAAGTTAAACCTAGTAAGTTAACTATTAATGTAAATAGTATCGACAATCATAGTCTCATACATTAGAAATGTAGGACTTCACGCAAAGTTTCAAATACAAAGAATCTATTAGTTAACTAAGAAAGAATTTCGTATTCAATTTTCTATAAAACTGTTTAGAATCTGTTTGTTGAATCTTCTTATTTGCAAAGGAAGGCCAAATAGGTGTTTTTTAAAACTTTGATGGTTTCACTATTATCGAGTGAATATAAAATATTTCACAGAAAGATTTTTACTGTGATGAAGAAAGGTTTATGTCACGATGCCTATTTCTCGAAATTGACGAGATAAGTGTGCCAACTGATTAATCGCTTTTGGATCGGAACTATGTGCATCATATAGGCCCAAACCATTTTTGAATATCTTGAAAAGCGTTCAGATCCTTAGCTTATTGTTTCGTAGATATGGCAAATTTACAATGATTTTTTAAAATGAATATCGTATTCTCAAAGAGAATACGAGAAAAATGAGTTTTTAAATTGCTACATGAAGCTTTATACATAGATTGACCTCAATAACAATAGTTTATTGTGAAAATTTCAGATTTTTTGATTTTCTTCTATCCTGAAATAGGAACATCGAAATATACTGGTTTACATAATCGATATAAAAGACGTACTTTTATCATAGCTGTATTGTAAGATAGAAATAGTGACAAGATCTGAAACAGTCACAATAAATGTAATGTTACAGCAAAACATTGACGAGATGCATACGAGTGAAATCATTGTTTATGGTGAATCCGTTATAACTTAATATGTATTTTTTGTATTTATTTAGAAATTAAATCAAAACAATCATCAGTATTTGATCTATATGAATTCGATATACGTCCTCTTGAATACATAACATTTCCATATATATCAAAATATCTTGAAGGTTTGCCAAAAAGTAATGGTAAACAACGTTTAATTATTCTTCGTTGTGTATCAACATTAATGGGTGATCTTCATCGTTTTTTAACAAATAATAATTTATCAATATCATCAATAGGTATAATTAAGAAACGTTTTAATACTCATACAGCACCAACAACATTACAAACTCAACAAATACGTATTGATAATGATAATAATGATGAAAATGTTGATGAAAATAATGATGATAAACTTGATTTTATGACATTAGAATATTTTGAAATGTTTTTAATACAAGTTATAAATACAATGAAATATATTCATATGTTTATGAGTACAACAAATAATGATAGTGCAGATCAATCGATGGATACAGATGATGATATAAATTGTTTAATTGATCGTGATCAAAGTCGTGATATAGCTAGTCATGCTTTTTATTATGCACTTGATAGTTTTTATTTTTTATTAAGTTTATTTAAAGTTAAACAAATCAATTGGCAAAAAGATTTAGATAAAGATGAAACATGTTTAAATTATTTATTAAAAATTCTTACTCATCATATTTTATTAACAAAGAAAACAAGTGAAAAAGGAAAAGAAGAACATGAACAAGAGAATGAACGTGTTCGGATATTAAAAAAAGTTTTTTCATTTACTGATATTCTTAATTTGATTTATTCAACACGTCTTTGTCAATCTCTAGAATTATTTATTCAATTATTTGATGAAGAAACACATCAGGTACGATTTTTAGAAGATTAAAAATTATCTGGGTTACGTTTCTTTTTGTTTGCATCTCTCATTTGAGTGGCTTTCTAAGTATACGTTGGTATGTGATAAGGGCCCATAACTGAAAAAGCACTTATAATTGTCTTATGAATATGGTATTGACCTTTTCGTTAGAGAGTTCTAGAAACTCATCATGATTGATGAAGAAACCTTTTAAAATCGAAAGTTGTTCTTATGAATATTCAAACTAGATATCTCAGGGCTCATTCCTATATATTTATCTCAAAAAGTGTATTCTTTTAGAAAAACCGAATGTCTTGAAGGTAACTGCCTTGAGTTCCGATGGAAACAACTTTTTCCTTGTAATCTTAACTTCCGAGATTAAAATTAGTCTACATGTTTTTCTTAGAAGATGCTGTTTAGTTATATATGTTTTTATGTATCAAAATGATTTTGAATTCTCATAAAACTCATCACTTTTCATTCAAGATTTTACAAGAAGTAACATCGGTGTTTCTCTTGGATTCTATGAGAGTCGCCATAGTTGAGGGGCTACTTTGTTTGACACATATCCACAAGGTACTGTGCGCAAGCTCAGTATTATTAGCCATGAAATGACCTTGGACAAATCACTAACGGTTATTTATTTCGGATCACACGTCCGATACTATGCTGAAAATCATTTTGACATACACCTGATATTGTGATATAATTAGTGTATATGAAGACCTCTGCTTCGTCGCGACCTTGTTTCAGATCTACAGCTAGTCATGCTTGTAGGCAAGATATCGAGCTATTGGATCTGCCGCTAGACAACAACCTATATCACCAAGTGACTAAAAGGTAGGAGTATTCTTTCTTCTATGATAGCGTAAATTCTTGTGTTTTCTTTACTTTGAGCGTCAGAGCATGGCATTTGTTGCATTTTGAAAAATTGCAATTTCGTTTATTTTTTAAATTATATTTATTATTTTCTTTTTAAGGATGAACTTTACAAAATATTTACTGCTAAATGTCGTCAATTTTTAGAAGAATGTAGTCTTGACGTCAATTCAAGTACAGTTATATCATTTTCAAAAATAACATCTGTACGAGCTGTTGAAATACTTCTTAATTTATATTTACTTCATGTTGAATTGAATGAAATTAATCCTATTATTGATGGATTAATACATTATTCATTAAAAATTTTTATACGAGTTGAAAAAGGTTTAAGAAATGATAATGAAAATATGGATGATGATACATCAGATAATTTAATTGTTGATTTATCAACATGGAATATAAAATCAACATTTATTGTTTATTTTCGTTGTCTTTTTAAACATTTTATTATTAAAGCTCGATCAATTAAATTACCTAATGAATCAAAGAAAAAAAATGAACTCGAAAATATATGTACAGAATGGTTGGAACTTAATGAATTATTTCGAAAATTTGTATCATTTGTTACTATTGATCAGATATATGCAAAAAATGCTATGGTAAATAAGATAGACAAATCATTCGAAACTATTCATAGTATTCAAATAAAAATGCAACTTGATGTTTTCTGAATATCTGAAGAATTAAATCAGTTAGAAATCTAAGAGGAAATGAAACTCTGCTATATTTTCTTAACTATGACTCAGCCAGTTTTTCCTGTAGACAATGACAAGACATTTTTGAAAAGGATCTCTCAACTAAGTATAAGTTTTAATTTATCTGATCAATAGCAAAGATATTTCTCTGTCGATCTACGTAAAGCTGAGTCATTTAGCTTATTCCATTCAATAGTTGTAAGCATTTTATTGAACGCTTCTAAATTGGCTAACTGATCACTAGTAAATATAGAGTAATGAGTTTGAAGTATTTTACCAAAATAAATCGAATAATTTTGTTTTGAAACAATTTCATTTGGAAAGACTAGATCTAGAAAATACTCTTTCTAATGTTAAGACTTTCTGCAGATTGAATTATAAAAATCGTGACCTAGCAGCTAACTATCATGTTGAAACTAGATATAAACAATCATCATTCGACTCAGCTCAATCGAATATCCCAAACTCGATATAGTTTAGATTTACCAGTGATCAGTTAGCCAATTTGAAAGGGTCTAATAAACCGTTTATAACTATTGAATAAAATAAATAAGAAAAGTCTGCTTCTGTGTAGATCGACAAAGAAATGTGTTCGCTATTGACGGACTAAATTAAAAGTTACGCTTGATTAAGAAATGATTTTCAAAAACTTTTACTCAGTGTCTACAGGAAAAATTAACCATCTCATAGTCGAGATAATTCAGCTGAGTTTTACTTCCCTGAACATTTCCTTTTTCAAATGATGAAAATCATAGATCTCTAGCCAGCCAGCTCTTAGAATATTCATAGAGCATCAAGATGCTTTTACACACAGGTACCAAGAAGAGTTGCTGTATTAATGACACTGAACAGAAAAATGAACGAAAAAAAAGGCATTTATAAATAGTTCCTACTATCCGAAAGTCGCAACAAAAAATGAATCAAACACATGAGGACCGAATAATTCATTTAAAAAACATTACATTGAATCAAAGTCAAAATAGTTGTCGCATATTTTATCTTTTTTTTTTTATCAAAGATTGTCAGAAAAAAATTTATTACTGCACAAGAGACAGAAACAAAATCTAACTCTAGAATTAGATATGCACTAATTTACCAGTCATTGAATAAGAAATAATAAAGATTAACATAAGAACATTGTATGTGTACCGAGTCCGGTTGGTGTACAGTCGAATAATGAACACATACATTCATTTTAACATTTACTAAATGGTAAGAAGATTTAAGCTTTAGAAAAAAATAAAAATTTCTCTGTATTAAATTTACTTCTGTTAATTCGAATGAGATATTATTTGCGAAACATAATCTAAAAGGAGTGTTAAAGTATAAGCGTAAAAATTTGGACTCACTCTTCTCCTCCTACAAACTACGATAGACAGTAGTCAAATATCATTACATGCCGTATATTAATAACGTCTAGTTACTACTTCCTTATTTCATTTCTGGAGAATTAAGTTAAAGTATGATGAAGAAATGTGTCCCAAAATAGATAAAATAAAACAAACTCTCTGTGATTCACAACATCAACTACATCATGTTTCAAATTTGAGTCCCGTAGGCATTGTGCAAATAGTTTTTTTTTGTTCTATTTTAATAGTATTCTTTATTTTTTTTTTGTACTTTTATCTGTATTCAATCTCACTAAACTGTATTATACATACTTTTTTAGGTGATTTCAACTATTCTTCGTTGTTCTAAGCAATATATTGATGTATTTCGAGCTCGTGCAATGCCAACATTAGATCTTTATTTTTTACATGATACATATGGAACAAAGCAGTTATTAACTATATTACAAAAATCAACTCGACTTTTACAATCACTTTGTAATATGGTTAAAAAAGATCAAAAACATATGTCATGTATACGTCTTATACCAGCATTAAAACGTACACTTGAAATGCTTATGTGTCGAGCGAAACTAATGGTTGATATTAATAATTGTCCAGCTAATGTATTTTGTATTGGTCAATTGAAAGCAAAAGATTTAAAAGGAAATGAATTAGCAGATTTAACTTATCGTCAACAACATGAAGAAGATGAAAGTAAATATTTCAAGAAATTCATTTGTCGAAAAAAGTATTTTTTTTCTTTTCATTCAATTTTAGATGAAAATTCTACGACAGTTGATGAGGATTCAAATGATGTACGACCAGATCAAGATGAAGAAGATGAAGAAGAACAGGGTGATGAAGAAGAAGAAGAAGAAAATGATGAATGAATAATGCATATTTATCAGATATATATATTTTTTACTTTATTTTCTTAATTTTTGTTGACTTTATGTATATGCTCATGTAAAAACTAATTAGATGACATAGTCAGATAAAATAAAATGGTTCAAAGAAAAAAATAAATTTTATTTTTTAATGCATCTTAAAAGAAAATTTCCTAGTTTTAAAGTCTAGATTTGATCATTTTTGTTTTTAGAATGGATTATCTTCTGTTTCTCGGATTACTTTCATCAGCTATTGCTATGCGATGGATTGTTGCTCGATACCCTTATTCAGGTAAATGTTTTGAATTCTTTATGAGTGTCTCGAAGTCGCTAGGATTGGAAGAATGACTCAGGAGATCGGCCAGAAGGCTTTTGCTAAAAAGTTAACTCAAATTTTGAGGAGGTGCAAGTTTTGTTTTGAGAATCGATGAGAAAAAAAAATACTATGCTAAAACTCCATTGGAGTAAAACGAAAATTTTTCATGATTGGAAGGATCATCCACTGTGGACATTTCGGTGCACATTAGATGAAAAAATCGAAAGTGTAATTTTTGTTGGTTTCAATAGGACAACATATACTCTGACCTATGGGTTGTTTAATGGCATAAAAGTCTTTCTTCTGCTTGTTAGCATTAGTCGAAAAACACTGGGAGTAAGAAAGTATTGGTAGTTTTTTCACTATGAACGAAAAAAAAAAATAATAAGGAGAAAATACTCCTAAGAAAATTAGATAAAAATTTGAAATCTTGTCTTTCACACTATCAATATGTTAAAAAAAACCTTTTGCTTTTATCTGTGTGGAAATCGAAAAAAATCATTCTTCTTTACCATGAAGTACTTTTACGGAAACATGTGTTCAATATAAATGAGATTGTACAGTTTTTCACAACTCCAAACTGGATGAAACTTTGACAGAATTTCCCTTCGCCTATGTAAACTATATAACGTTAGCACAAACACTTCAGAGCTGAGCTAAAGACTTCCTAGATGAAACTCATTTTTCTCGACATAGAAACACTTTTATTGAAGATTAAAATCCTATTTAGAATCAACATCGAAAACTGGATCGAATGTTGTGTAGTGTATTAGCCTTCTTATTAAAAAAATGTATATATAGAACAAAGGTCTCTCAGTGATTTTCGTTGAAAAGAAAAAGTTCTCGTTTAGATTTGACTTTTTCAGATTATATTTATATTAGAGAGAGATGATAAAGCTATATTCAGCAGAAAATAAAGGTCTTTCTAAGAGAAAAAATTATATGTTTCTCTGATCTATAGAAAAATGCTCACTGTATGACACGTCCTCCTCCATCCATTCGAGACAGCCGTGGAATATTTATTAATGTTTCTTGTATTCTTTATTCAAGGTTATAACAAACCACCCATGTTTGGTGATTTTGAAGCACAACGTCATTGGATGGAAGTAACAATCAATTTACCAGTTAATGAATGGTTAACAATATAAACAGATTAAAAGAAAAAATTCAATAATGATTTTTATTTCAGGTATCAAAATTCATCTTCAAATAATTTAACTTATTGGGGCTTAGATTACCCATTATTAACAGCTTATCATTCGTATATTTGTGGATGGATGTAAGTAATTTTAAACAATTTCTGATTTGAAATATATTTATTCTTAGTTCAAATAAAATTAATCCAACATGGTGTGCTTTGAACGAATCACATGGACATCAAAGTAGTTCACATAAACTATTCATGCGTTACACTGGTTCGTAAAACAAAAACAAAAACCTGAAATAATATGATTTTTTTCATCTTAGTCTTTATTGCTGATCTTCTTATCTATTATCCAGCTGTTTTCTATACCTATCGATCGGATTTACTCAATAAGAATATTGCAACAAGAAAAGTTAGTAAATTTTTTTTTCTATTTGTATATTCATTTTTTGTGACCCTACTGTTTATTTTTATAGTTTACAGTATTATTAACAAATCTTTTTTATCCTCTTTTATTTCTTATTGATCATGGTCATTTTCAATTTAATTCTATTAGTCTTGGTTTAGCATTGATTGCATTTATAATGGCAACTCAAAAAAACTTAATTTTATTTTCAGCTATTTTCTTTACGTTATCACTTAATTATAAACAAATGGAACTTTATCATGCTATACCTATATTTGTCTATTTATTATCAGCATATTGTTTTGAAGAAAGAAAAATCAAGTAAAAAAAAACAAACAAAAAAGGATCCTACCGGATTTGGTAGTCTATCCTGAACTAGAATGCTAGTTATATAGTTTTGTAGATCAAATAGTAACGCATCGAGTGTTATACAAGAAGTCAAGTTTTATGAAATTTTTCAGATGTTGAAGCTTGATGTCTCTGTTGTTTCAAAAAATGTTAAGTATGAAATACATAGAACTTAATAGTGTACAATTTTTGAGAAAGTTACATATTGGTATTCACTAATATCATATAGTCAAGAAATAGACTAGACCTAAGAAAACCAATCATTTTTAGGTATGAAGAAAGCAACGATGAAAACTATTGATTGTAGAAAAATGAAGAACACCTATAACTGTATCGAATTGAGTTGAAAAAAGATTAGCATATGGATTAAAATGTCTATGAATATCCTATCATATTCCTCAAGCATTATAACCAGCGTACCAAGTTTTAGCATATGAAAATTTTTATCAAAATTTCATGTCCTCTATACCATTTGTTGCCTTGCAATTTGTTCTACAAAACGACATATACAGAATTCTAGCTCTAGATAGACCATCGAATTCGATGCGCTCCATTTTTCTTTTCAATGATAATAAATTTTTATTGATAATTAAGATTGAAAACATTTTTATCATTGGGATTCGTTGTAATTGCAACATTTTTTATAATATGGATACCAGTATTAAGACATGATCCTCTGGCTGTCATTAAACGACTTTTTCCATTTGAAAGAGGTTTATATGAAGTAAAAATTTTTTCTAATGAATTATTTAAAAAGAAAATTTTATCTTGAATTTTCCATTAGGATAAAGTTGCTAATTTTTGGTGTACAATTAATTTAATTGTTAAACTACGATCAAAATTTAATCATGAAACATTAGCTAAATTATGGTAAATATTTGTTTTATTTTTTAAATTTCATTTATCTATTTGTATAAACAATTAGTTTGTTGACAACTTTATTGAGTATTTTACCATCATGTTTTATGCTTTTTCGACGACCAACAGTTCGAAATTTTTATATTAGTCTTGTAAGTTTTTTTGATTCGCTGGAATAATGATACTGATTATAGTCTTTTATTTTTACCGTAATCTTTTAGTTTAATGTTTCTCTTTGTTTTTATTTATTCTCATTTCAAGTTCATGAAAAAACAATTTTACTTCCATGTTTGTAAGTATTTTACTTTTTTTTACATTATTTTATATAGAAATGAATGTGTATTATAGACCCTTGATGTTACTTTCAGCAACATATCCTGTTGAATGTTTTGCTTTTCTACAATTTGCTATGATTAGGTAAGAAAGTCAATATTGTTCTGAAATCATAAGAAAATCAAAATGAGTGTTTTGGCACAATGAATGACACTCCAAAATCCTTTTAATTGGATTGATTGTAAAAGAAAATTTTCGAACAATGAAGAAATTCGAATTATTTTTATGGAGAAATTATATTAAGATTTATAATATTGATATTCATTCTAAGAGATACAAATTAGCACTGTATACAAGTTCAAGCATAAATATTTATCAAGGAAAGTCTTCAGATATAAAAATGATTTTCACTTGAGATTATGGTCATTAGATAGACCTTAGTGAGTAGTTGAAAATTTTATCTTAGTTTCGATCCATGAATCTTCTAGACTGATATATCAAATTTTTTCGCCAAGACTACAATTTTCAAGCAAAATTATATTGTTGAAATTTGACCTTGAAGTTTAGCCACATGAAAAGTACACCTAAACTAGCTTTCTATACCAAAACGTTGTCTTAAAAGATTCTGAAATTCTTAATTTGACAGAATGCTAATTTAGTTTTCAACCTTTTAAAAAAGTCTGCAGAAATTTGAAAATATTTAAAATAATTTTCGCTTCTATGTTAGGTAAGTCTTGACACACTGAAGTTCGACTAAACTTAATATATAAACCTCGAAAAATTTGGTTCATCATTCCTAAATCAGAAGTTCTGACACAATTTCCAAGTCATATTCACAAAGAACAAAAAATTCTAATACTAATTCAATGTTATCAAGAGTCTACAGACTTTTTTAATAGATTGAAACATGAACGAACATTTTATCAAATTATTCGTTACTCACTGAGCTTTATCTACTAACAATAGTCTCGAATGAAAAATGACATTACACACCTGCACAGATTTCCTTCATTAGTTCATCACAAGAAAAAATTAATCTAATATTGAATCCATAAATTTTAATTTAAACAATTTTTGTTTTGTTTTTTTAGTGTCTTTCCTTTAATGATAAAAGATGATCTCGTATTTATCTTTTGGATAACATTCTTTGGTTTTACTATTCTCGTCTTTCAACGATTATACATACATTTAAATCACATATCATTAATTCAATTATTTTTCGTATGTTAAAATCATCATTTGTATCAAATAGGCTTTACTTTTGTTTTTAATTTTTAGTCAATTTTATGTATAACAATAACATTTCCATTATTAATTGCTGCTATTTATATTCAACCACCAGTGCGTTATCCAGATCTATGGATTGTTCTTATTAGTTCTTGTTCGTGTGTTTATTTCTTGATCATACTTGTTCAATTTCATATATATCAATTCAAAGAAATGACGCATAAACAACTTCAAATAAAAAAAACTAACTAAACATTTTTAATCGTATTATTATTTTTTTTGTTCTTTTTATTCATTTTTCTTCTTGACATAATAAGAATAAGATGGGTTATAGACACACACACACCAGCACACTCATAAATGGAACAGTAAAAATATATGTTTCTAATGAAATCGATTAAAATTTTTAATAGGTTGATTGAAGAATTGGACGAAGGCCACTGGAATCCATATTAAGTAATTGTAGATTACGATCAGTTTCTGTACTTGGTGTTATTTCTGTATTAAGACGACGTCGAGTTTCTAATGCTCGTTTTTCAAGCATTATTGAATTTGATTTAACAGCTATTTCATCTTCAATTCTATGCAATTGTTGTTGAAGAATATTCCATGCATGTCTATAGAGATTAATTTTTAAAAAAAATAAAGAAAATTATTTTCTTTTTAATTTTCTATTACTTTGTTTGTTTTAATTGATCTTCCAAGGCACGTTTTTCAGCTTTTAATTGTTGAATTTCATCACATAACTAAATTAGAAATTAGAAAAAATTAAATAACAACAAAAATAATCAATGAATATACTCCATATGAAACTTCATCACGAACTAAATCCATTCCAGGTCTATTATGACGATTTTCTTGTCGTGTCATCGCTAATTTAATTAATGGTTCTTTATCTAAAACAAAGTAATTAATTCAATAGTATTTACTAAAAATTTATCATTTACCTCGTACAGCTTTTTCTAAACGATCAATATCATTTTCATTGCTAAGAATTTCTTCTTCCGTCTAAAATATATAATGAGAAACATTCATCAATCTAAAAATAAAAGCTGTTTGTGCGATCTCTGCGAGATTAAAATGTAAAATACGATGTAGTTGCTGTTACTAATTACAAGGACACCGTCTTATTCTATTTGATTTAAGAATAAACTTTTTCACCAGGCAGAAATACTATACGGAAAGAGTTCATATATTAAAACGAAACTTCATTCATTAGGGAGTTGCGAGTTCTTCCAGACCTCGGCCTGAACGAGTCATGGTTGAGTTCAGGTCAGGTTCCCCAAAATATGAATCTACAGATCCCTATTATTCATATACGGTCTTTGAAGAGTCTAAGCTTTTAAGATAGTGTTTCACGAAAAAAACAGACGTACTTGTTTCTTTTGCCATTCAAGTTCTTTAAGTGCTCGTTCAAGTTCATGAAGACGTTTTCGTAATGCATATTCACTTGCTTTTCCTTGTGATTCAAGATCAGCTGCTGATTGACCCATTGTATGAAATATACTTTCACGAAGACGTACGGATTCATACACTTGAAAAACAAATGTCAATGAAAAAATTTTTTGAAATTTCCTAATTTTTTTTGTTCTATTTTATACTTTCTTTTTCTGCACGATCTTTATTATATTTTGAAAAAGCAAGCCATTCTTCTGGTGTTATTTGTCCTTTTATTGGTCGACATGGATCAGGTTTATAACTAATATTTGGTGAAAATTCATTTAATTGTAAATTTTCTTCACATATAGCAAAAGCCGTATGTTTATCTTGTAAGTCCTAAATTATACAAGAATATTAACTAAGACAATAAAGAACATTGCTAAATTCAATAGAATATACTCGAATTAATTGTTGTTTAGCTTCATTAAGACGAGCAATTTGATCAAAAGCCGTTTGTACTTGTTGATGAAGTTGTCGTTTGATACCATCGATCACGTAGACTTCCTACGCAAAAGAATGTTGTTATTCTTGTATACACATGTATGTGCATTTTTCTTTTCTTAGTTGGTTATTATCAAGGCTTGCTTAATGCCACGTATTCGAACAAATAGTTCAACTCCTGAAACTCGACGACGTCAACTTCTCTTATTAAAATCCTCAACAATTGATGGAAAAATTAAAACAGCCTTCGACGAAGCTAAATTAATTGTACGAAATAGTAAAGAATATGATAATAAACAATCTTTATCATATGCACAACAATTCATTCAATCGGATAATCAAGAATTAAATAATTTATTTGAATCAACAACTATTATACCACCTATAAATTCTACTAATGCAATATTATTATCAAATGATAATGAAGTTAAATATTATGCACATATATCAACAATTGTAGAAAAATTTGATGATCAAAATAAAACATTCTCATCATCAACTGTTTATCATGTTGAATTAGCATCTAGTGATGATGATGATGAAGAATATCAATCTCATTTTATAACTTGTTTAAATATAAAACCTAATTATAAATTTTCTTATCGTGATCATCATCGTCGTCGTACAAGTTCATTACCAAGTTCAACAATTATATTTGAACTTTCAATACCAAAAAAAGTAAATAATAATCGAAGTTCAAGTTTAAATAATTTAACATTATGGCAAAATAATCCTCAAAAAATAATTCATCTTTTCGATCGTCAATATTATTGTCAACCAATAACAAAATTTTATGATAATAAAATTCTTTTAGCTAATTCAACACATATTGATATTTATAATATAGAAACAGAACAATGTGATGAAAAAATATGTTTTCAATCATCAAATATTAATTATATAGGTTTATGTTATAATAAATATAAAAATGAATTATTGGTAACATCAACATCAAATTTATATATTTATAATCTTCGAGAATGTAAAGTTAAATATGAAATTCATTTACCTGGTTTTCCATTTAGTCTTGATCATAATAATCAAATTCGATATCTTGTATGCAATTCATCATCAATTTATCATGGTTATTTTTCTTTTACATCAACATGTACTTCAACAGTTCTATCACGTTTATCTCAATATGAATTTAAACATGTTTGTGATCTTGAATTTGATGATGGTACAATGCATGGTTTACATGCATTTGAAAACTATATTGGTATTGTTATACGTTATGGTTGTTATTCATCAAAACATTATGAAGATTATTGTTTATATGTATATGATTCATTACTTGATAAAGAATATTATCATATAGATTTAAATAATATTGGTTGTATAACATGTTTAACTGGTTATGAACGTACATCAGATTGGATATTATGTGATTATAAAAAACAACGTATTCTATTTGTTAATCAAGAATCAATTGAATATGTTCAATATAATGAATGTATAAAACAATGTGTTCTTTTAGATGAATCAAATTATCTTATTGTATGGTTTTTAAATCGTTTATTTGTTTATACTATTGAATAACTCACCTTTTTTAATTCACGCTCAGCTTCATCATCAACATTATCAATTGCTTTGCGTCCATCACGTGTGACATGATTTTCCAATGAAACATCTTCAAAAGAAAATAAAACTCAATATACTTTTGTTCTTTTTTAATTAATTATATACCTAATGGACTTCGCATATGTTCTAAATAACGTTCACATTGTTCTTTAGTTGATTGAATTGCTTGAATTTCACGATCAACATCTTGAATTGTATATTCGAGAGTTTTACGCCATTTATCAATTTCATCAAGTCGATCAGAAATACGTACATCACTGAAATAGATATTATTGTTAATAGATTAACTAACTAGCAGAAAATGTATTATAGTTTTCACAAAAAGTCAGGCAACGAAGTAAAAAGTACATCAACTTCAATTCTTTTGCCTAATATGTCGACTATAAACACTATGCTTTTCTGTTGGGACTCAAACAAGATTAGTTCTCCATAGTTTTCACACATTATCATCTATTTTCTTATTAGCAAATAAAGCTCCACATGCCTATTTCGTGTTACAGATAAGGTACTTCAACATGTTGTAACAACTTATGTGTGGAAAGTTGCCATTGTTTTGAGCGACTTCAGCACAGATCTCCTTGCTATCGATGGCTAAAATCATGAAGTTTTCAGGAAAAAGATAACGAATTTTCTCAACTTTTATGTCGAGAATTCTCAAAAACTACTTCATAAATCAAACAATTGTAGAACTGTTTGACATGAGATTTTTATTCGTAATGAAAGCAGCAGTGAGCTCTCGAACCAATGATCAAATGCCATGGAGTTTGTTTCAAATATTGAAATATCGTCGTTGGAAGAAAACTTCTATGTTGACCTTCAAGATCTTCTATATGAAGGTCAATCAAATTATTATTGGTCCTTGTTATCGAAGTTCAACTTACTCTATTTGTGATCAAAATATGAAACCAAAAAACTCAAGTTTAAGTACTTTTTCAATAGTTGTGAGGTTTTTGCGATTATTGTATCAATTATATTTTGCTTGGTTATATTCAAGTTTATCATATTTTTATAGAAGGATAGCAATTTTCTCGTGGAAGGCTTCGTTTAACTAATGAAACAATATGAATAATAGTGGAAGGGATTTGTGAATCATACAGTCTATTGTTGTCTATAAATCAGTTTTGTTTTCGAGTAGTAAAGAATATGCTAAACGTTTTAGATATACTTGTTTCATTATTCTAGGTGTAATATTGTATTTTCTCAGTAAAAACTATCTTTTTTTTAGGATAATACATTTGAAAGAATAAACTTACTCGTAATTATTTTTCCAAATTACTAGATGTCTTCATGTTAAATTAATTAGTTGAACTCTCGATAAAATTTGAAAAGTAAAATAAAAGTAATTTTTTGTTTTAGATCTATGATTAATACAGAGAAAAAAATTTAGCTAAAAGATAAAATGGCAAAGATCTCGAGGTTCATCATTAGATATTTACAATGTTTTTTTCATGATTTTGTACAAAAGTTATTTTTCTGAGTAAGTTCTTTCAGCATAGACATATGTAAAAATGTTGATTCTTCCAATTGACTATTAATTAGAAAGTAATTAATAAATATTTCTCGAACTCTCTGAGAAAAAATACGAAAACTAGAGAATAGATGCTGTGGCACAAACATCACATTTATGGTGGAATTTTCAGCAAGATTGGATTCCAAAAGACTTCTCTTTAAAAACCCGGTTTTCTCGATATCCTTTAAAGTCGTGAAGTAAAAGCTTTTGTCTTATCGTCATTTAGAGATCCTTAAGAAGAGTTTGAACCGTTTGAAATTCGTTTTGAACTTCTCATTCGGTTATAAGAGCATTTTTTCGTATGTAGATTTATACTCCATCTCATCGCTAACGAAAAGTAAATCTCTTTTTTTTCGAAAAATCTAGGCACACTCAAAAGTTCTCTACAGAATGCAATGTTGTTTTCGAAACTGCTACTTCAATTTAGAGTCTTCTATAAACTAAAATGCACCAAGAGAAAGTCGATATGCTTTTTAATGTTACTTTTTTTACTGATAACTCCTCTTAATAAAGGTCTGTGGCACTGATTTAGGGTATCTAGAGTAACTTAACATAGATGTAACACATAAAAATTAGCTCCAAAAAAAGTTAATTATCCTAAAATACACATGTTTTTTATTTGGCAAAGTCAAGTCGTTAACGAATGACTTTGCTCATATATCATTTTCGAATATATCCTACTTAATCAGCTTACTTATCATGTTTATTCCACCATGATTCATTATATGTTTCATTAACTAATCTTCGGCCATCTTGTCGTACTTGATGCGATACATTTCGACTGCGATCTGCATCATATGAAATCGCATAACTAAAGAATAAAAGAAACAAAAAAAAAATTAAAATAAAACATTCGAAAATTTTACTTATGATTAAACCAATCTGGTACACTATATTTAGCGCGCGGCTTTTGTTCAAGTGTCGGATGAAGTGTATGTACGGCAACTTCGGATCGAGGTTTTAGCGGTTTTGAAAGTGATTCAAATCCACTCATGGTGAAAATTATTCTGTTCTATTCAACAACAATAAGATTTCAAAACAGAAATAATAATAACAATGATGGCTGTTGAATTCTAATAAGCGCGTAAGTTATGTTTGCTTGCCATTCTTACTGATATCTCTATGGATACCTTGGCAACTATCAATGTTTTATTAAGAAATCAATATTTTTTAAATAAAATTATGAAAAATTAATTAGGTTATTGGCTATTACTAATTTATTTTGTAGTAAAATTTACAATAGAAAAATGTCGAGAGAGAGAAAGAGAGAGATGTCGTTAGAAATTTTCTATTAAGTCAATTTCTTTGCCCATTTGATAAGTATTACATTAATTTGTTTAACAATAGATGGGTCAACTTTGAATAAATTAATCAGAATTTCAGTAAAATTTTGTTGTCCTTGTTCTAAAAATAATCGAATTAAATCTTCAATTGATTCAATATTTTGTTGTCGCATCAATAAACAATTTGTTTTCGATAATAATCTATTTAATTCATTAATTGAATGAAAAGATTTTGTAGAAAATTGTTCATTTTCATTATATTTACGTATCATTGGTTCACCTAATGCAATACCAAATTGTTTACCACGGTGTAAAATTATACCATCAGATGATTGTTCCATAGAATTTGTATTATTATTTTCATTGTTTAGAGAATCAAGACTTTGTTCATGCTTCAATTTTAGAAAAAAAGTATTAAACAATATTTTATTTTATAGAATATAATGAAGAAAAATTAAGTTTTAATTTATAAAAGAAGTTAGTAGTTAACACTAAAAGCGTACAAATCTCATTAATCTTTAGAGAAGAAATTTTCCGATCGATTTTGAAACTATGATTTCATACTTTTATTAGAACATATTTTGATAAATTACATTGAGTATCTTTTCACTGAAACACGATGTAGCTGCTGCCACTAATCACACGGAGATTGTTTTACTCTACTTATTGTGGGACACATTTTTTCCCCATCATTTTATTTGATTCTCCATGAGTATAATGAATAAGTAGTAATGAGTCGTTGGGGCACATGAAGGTTGCAAATTTTTACCCTATGTACTTTAACATTCGTTTTAGATTGTGTTTCAGAGAATTGATTATACATATTGTATTGCAGTTAATTTTATACGTGATCAACATGATTCTTCAGGCTATGTTGGCTGATAAAAGAGTGTCTCTTCACTGTATCGAAACTAGTCGAAAGAAAAACAGGCTTTGACAAGATTGAACATTTTATGGATGGATCTCTAAGTATTCATTTGCTAGGAAAAAGAAGTGCGACTCCAATATTTTAGAGTACTAGAGAGACGATTTTTCCCTCTCGATCCATTTATCTATCATGTGTATTGAATGGTTTTGAGAAAGAGAAGTGCATTCATTTAGAAATAAATGATTGACAGTAATTTCATAATACAAAAAGCTTTTGGTTTCGTTATAATGTTAGTCATATATTCGAAAACGATGAGTCATAAATATAAACGCTTTAGTCTCATGGAGATTTACGTGTAGCTAAAAGATGAATTAAAAAATTCCGAATCAGTTGGGGGACACTTCTCTTCTTAGTGCTTCATTTGAAAACTTAGTGTTATTCCAAGTAGTATTTCATCAAGATAGACGAGTGATATCAAAAGAAATTTATTTATTTATTTATTTATTTATAGAACACTTTGTCATAGAATAGACAAACATCAATTCGAATATTTTCATTGATTATTTTTCTTTTTATAGTATGAACGATACTGAATATATGTGACATCTCTTTATCCTCCATTTTAAAATAGAAAAGATTCTAATAGACATTCATACTTTAAATAAATGTGAATGTATATTTTTATAAGTATCTTGTTGAATAGATAATTGTAATTTATTATTATTATTATTATTATTCATTAACGAAATAAACGAAGATGAACTATGTAATGTAGCTAATTGTTTTTCATTATTTGAACATGATTCATTTAAAATTTCCGATAAATTTTTTACACATAAATTTACATTTTTTAATATTATATTTCTCATGATATTTTCTTGATTTGAATCTAAAATTTTTAAAATAAAATAATATATTTTGTTTTTCAATATAATTTAATTTACTTGATATTTTATCGTAACAAAATCGTTTTTGATTATTTTCATTTTCATTCATATTTGATTTCTTTTTTTTAAGTATACCAAGTGGAATAATATTATCATTGATTATTGGATTATATGATAATGAATCAAGCGTATTATCATGTTCATCATTATTTAAAATCCATGAATGTTTTTGTCGATTTGTTTGATAAGAATATTGATCATAATTGGAAAGTGCCACTTCTGACGGAATATAAGACATACCAATATTTTCATTTATTTCCTAAAATGGATATTTAGTTTAACTCTTTGGTTATAGAATTTTTTTCGTGAAATGACAAATATGGGTTTTAGTTGTTCAAAGCTTTGCAGAATTTCTTACATAGCTCCATGAATAACTTATAGTTACATATCATAATATATACATCAAAATAAAACTGAACATCTAGTCTCCTCGAAGATTAAAACTTATGCTGTAATCGCAACTTTCTAAGATTCTACAAAATTTTACAGATTTCTGTTTGGCTTTACAGGATTTTGAATGATTTTAGATATAGNGATTCAAATCAAAAAGAAATTTTTCGTGGAATTTATTTAACAAAAAAAATGACAACTAAACAAGAAATACAATGGAAAGAAATTCTTCAAAGAAAACAATCTATAATAAATAATAAACAAATATTTCTTTATAATATTTTAATAAGTTGTTATATGAAAAACCGTTTAAATATTCTTTTAACAAATATCGATTTAAAAAATAAAAATTTAACTAAAAATACATTTCAATATGATGATTATATATATAAAAATTCTTTAATTACACATATTTGTTTATCAAATATATGGATTAAAAGACGTGAATATTTAATTGATGATGCATTAATTTACCTTTTAAGTGAATTTCAAATAATTGAATGTTTAACACGTAAAAGACAATTATTTATACAATTATGTGGTACACGTGAAACATTTTTTAATATACCTTATTATATAACAAGAAATTTAAAAGAAAAACAACGAAATAATTTAAGATTAGATAAATTTAATAGAAGAAAACGTACAGTACAATTTCATTTGCATGCAACTAAACAAGGACAACAAGCACATTTAACTGATTTATATGAAGTATTAATTGCTAAAAATATGATACAATATCATATATCGAAATATGAACGATTTGATATTCATCATCCAATTGAAAAATTATATAATGGGCAATTATTTGTTGATTCTTTATTTGAATCAAATTTTAGTAAAACATTTTTTAGTCATCGACCAAAAGAAGAAGTGGTAAGAGAAATTAATTATGAAATCTTTATGATAATATTGTTTTTTTTATTTGAAGAAGTTCTTTATAAAAGAACCTGTTTTTCTGCAGATATTTTATCTTGTATGAGCAAAAATGAGACATAATCATCTTTGATTTGACTTCGATTCTTTAAAAAGATTATTTTCCCATGAATATTGACTCTTTCTAATTAAATGTAATTAGTTAATTAATGAGGAAATAAATTGCCTCCTCCAAAACTAGTTTTATAGGGGTCTAATCCTGTCCGGGAACGAAACTTTTGATGTTGCAATCATCTCGAGACCCATACGAAGGATTCGTACTATTCAGAATTGTTTTTTGGATTTCTCATTCACTTACGAGAGGATTTTTCGTTTCTATACTGAGACTTACTCAAGTAGCTAACAACAAATAACTTCAATTTTTTCAAAAACCTAAACATGTCCCGGGAAAATGTTGCGTAGAGGTTTTATAGTCTGAAGAGTGTTCAACAAAACGTATTATTTAGTTTTCAAAAATATTGTTTGAACTTGTAGAATTTGTGACTAGACACTCACGCAGTGAAAACCTTTGTTCTTACTTATACCACATTGCTAAAGCTAGTTTTTCAATAATAATTCGATGGAAGCAAGATCTATAGGAGTAAGTTTTTCAGAGCATCTAGAATTGTTCGACATACATTTGTTACATAAAAATTAGCTAAAAGAAATGTCTAAGTCTGGAGACAAGCATATTTCTATTGTAAAATCACATTTCTGACGAATGAAATCGCCCATATTCGTATACGTTCTTACCTCTACAAGAAATAGGAAACAAGCATGTTGTTCTCTTGAACTTTATTGAATCATTTATAACCTAGACCGACATTTTCACTTGATACATATTTTAGTTCATCCTTATTTTTCGTCATTTCTTTTCTCGATATTATCTTTTGTGGTGAACCGAGCATTCTTACAAACTTAACATTGAAGGTATGAACTCAGTACTTCATTTTTCGTAGTGTATCAGTGATGAAAATTTGTAATGCTCTTTTGATTGTTTAAAACCTAACAGCGAAAGAGAAGCATTTTTCAAAAATATAACCACACTAAAGATCATGAAAGCTACATCTCTATATATAACAGACAGCGAATATTTATTCGCTATATGCGTATATTTTTTTTTTTATTTGCTAGCATTCTAATAAATAATTCTTATTAAAACATTTATTTTATGATGAGTAATTCATCTAGATCTTAAGGATTCGTCTCAATATAACAAAAACACGAAAATATTAGAAAATAATTTTCTTCTTATTCTATAAGAAAAGAAAACATTATTTTTGTTATAGGAACAAATTCGTGAAAATCTAAAACCAATATTTGAAAAATTTCAATTAAATCATCATCAATTTTTTCTTCGACGTCGATCACGGTTACCATTGTCATTTACAAATCATCATGTTCCTGAACCAACTGCTACACTTGATCAATTAACTCCCTTAACAACACCAATTTCTTCTATAAAAAATTTTATTCGTATTTGGTTAAAAAATATTTTACCAATAGAATTATTTGGTTCAAAATATAATCATAAATTATTTATATATAAAATGTGTTTTCTTATTGAATTACCACGAATTCAAGAATATTCATTAGGTGATGCTGTACGAAAGCTAAAATTTAAACATTTTCAATGGTCAAATATTCAAATGCTAAATTCATTATCACTTATATGTCAATTATATAATTGTCATTTAATTCATTTTCTTATACAATATGTTCTTATATTAGTTCGTTCATATTTTTATGTTACAGAAGCATCATCACCATCTCATCAACTTGAACTTATTTTCTATCGACATAAAATTTGGTAAGAAAAAAACTTTTTTTTTAAATGACATATAATATAAAAGTGATAGAACAAATGTCGGACCTTATTTCTCTTCGATAGACAGGTACTGAAAGAAAACTTGGTTCACTACAAGCTAGAGAATTTTTCATTATAACCACGAGAAATCATTTTGTATAACTTTCCACAGTTTTATTTTTCTTCCATTTTGTCGTCGATCTTTGGAGTATTTTGATATTTTCTCATAATAACTAATGTTCTTTTGCGTAAGTTACAATTGATTGCTAATTGATTAACTTTGTCATGCTTAGCTAATTTATGTTGAGTGATACCACAATGATTATTAGCAGACTTCATCAGTTGATTTAATTTTTTGATTAGAAAATTTTAATGGATGAATAGATCCTTGGTAAAAATTTGCTTCGTCTATATTTCCAATATCTATTTAATATGTTCTAAATTGTATCTCTTAAAATGTTTTTCTTTATAAAATAACTAACTGTCGATTTACACAATTTATTTGATAAATCGATATAAAAATTGTAAATTCGTCGTACGAGAGTTTCTCTTTGTTCTCGTGTTATTTTGTTTGTGAATGTATAACAAAATTAAGTTATTTACAGTTCGAAAGAGGAGAAAATTTTTCATCAACTGATAACAAAAGTTATTGTTCCAACATGTGTTTACTAAAGAGATACAGAAGTTGATATTTTGCATCATTATTCTACATTATATAAAAATTGTGAATCTACATTGAGAATGCTTCTTTTTTCTCTTGCGATGTTACATTGATGAACGTGTGGTAAAAATAAGTTGTATACAACTCGAACGAGAAATAATTCTCTACCTTCTGGTAAATCAAGTTTTCTTTCAGCACCTTCCTATCGAAGAGATATAAGGGTCGACATTTGTTTCATTACATTTGCATCATACCTTATATTACATAATTCAATGGTCTATATATATATATAAAGGTATGCTATACAACAAAAATCTCGTAAAGAATTATTTTATAAATCTTGTTGTCCAAATGTTGAACAAGAAAATGTTAATAATGATGATTGTATACGTTATTTATGGAAAATACGGTTTGTACCTAAAATAACAAATGTACGTTATTTAGCATGTGCACAAATAGAATTTAATACTAGAGAAAATATAAATCATTTAAAATATACGAATGAAGCATTAAAATATCTTCGAAGACATAATAGACATTTAATGGGTATATCTACATTTAATCGTGTTGAAATGCATCGACGATGGCAAGATTATTGTCGAATTGCACCAAAAATAGATGACGAAAGCATGACTTATTTTTTGGTATGAGTTTCTTTTTTGTCGACTAGACATTTAATATATTCATGATTTTTAATTTATAGAGAAGTGATCTTTCGAATTTTTATGATTCAGTTAATCTTGATTATCTTGATAAAGTGAGTAAATATACAATTTATATATGCAAAGTAAATGCAAAAATTACATTAAGATTTCATAAAAGATCAAGAAAATTTTTGAGTAAAATCAGCGAAAAAAAGCTATGACTACTTGAATATTGACTTTTTCAGCTTACGCATAATAAAATGTAATTAGTTACTTAATTAAGAAAAACAATTGTCTCGCAATCTGGTTGTCCAGAAATCTTATCTTTTCCTGAAATGAAACTTTTGGCTTTGTAATCATCTAGCTATTTTCAACAAGATTTTATACGATTGGAAATTGATGAAACTTTATTTTTTCAAAAGTCTAAGAATATTCAGGAAAAGTCCTTGTAGAGATTGTTTTAGTCTGAAGAGTTCTCTACAAAACGCACTATTTAAGTTCCAAAAATGCTGTTTGAACTTGCCAGTTTGATAAATGAAAGCGCAAATAGTAAGATCCTTTGTCCTTTCTAATATCACATTGCTAAAGCTGGTTTTTCAATAATAACTCGGCGAAACAAAGGTCTATAGAATTACGTGTTTCAGATTATCTAGAATAACTCATTCAACTCGCTAATTTCCCATCTGATCGTCAATCTCGTTGTTTTCTGTAAGGCTAACTTTATTTCTTGTGTTCAATTCTAATTCGAGAAGGTAATAACAGAGGTTACAAGCTAAAATCTTGCAATTTTGCTGTTTGTCCGTAACTTGAGAAACATACTCTTAAGATGTAGAAAGACATTAAACACCAAGAAAAAAAATAATTTGAAAGATAACCTCTTTCGTTCAATCGAATACTCAGATTCATTATTATGAATTAATGGGACAATAGTGAAAGATCAGTAATCCACTATTTTGTTTAAACCGCAAGATTTAATAATCCGAACCAAATAGTTCCTCATAAGTATATCGTTATGTATTCATTCAACATTATTCTTTTTTATACATACAGTTCTTCAAGATAAAATACAATAGTTTATAGAGAAGTTCAATTCCTAACCAATCTTACATTCAAATGTTTATTTAAGGCATTAGTTGAATTTCTTGACAATTGTGAATTTAATTATGATTTATATATTCACACAATATATAAATCTCAATATCGTAATGGACGTTTTATTCGTCGAAAAACAATTTATTGGGTAGGAAAAGAAAATGAACAAATGTTTGAAATAATGACTGATGCTACAAAACGTGTAAGTAATGGAACATTTCATGATATGATTATTCATGATGTTCATGTTGAAATTTATAATAAAGAAAAATTACTTAAATATATTCGTGCTCAATTATTCAAGTAAATATTTATTTTTATTTCTTATGAAGACTAAAATAAACAGAAACAAATAATTTTAGTTCATATCTTTATACAATGCATCCAAAAAAATTGCCAATTAAAACATTTCGTCGTATAATTGGTATTAATCATGGTTTACGAATAGCTTCAATGCTTGGACAAATATATTTAAATAAAATTGATCATGATATTGATTTTAGTCCTATATCAGATGAATTTGCTGTACGTCATGAAGATGATTTATTAATTATATCACCACATCGTTATCGTCTACGTCGTATTAAATTAAATATAACTAAAAGACTAATTGAATTACATCATATAAATAATTCATTAACAAATTCATTAAAAACAAAAACAAATATACGTCATAGAACAATGAAAAAATTTCGTCCTGTTGAATATTGGGGTTCACTTGTTGATATAAAATCACGTGAAATACTTGTTACATTAAATCAAAACGAAAATATTGAAAAAAAAATTAATCAATTAACTATAAAAATAACACGTGAAACAGGTTATCATTTACGTCATTCATTAATTAATGCATTATATTTACGTTCACATTCATATTATTTTGATCGTTTATATACATCAGATCAAACATTAATAAGAAATTTTTATTATTTATCATGTTATTTTCTTAAACGTTTACATTCAATGTGTTATCGTTTTGCACAATTTTACTCAAATAAATATATACAATCAAAAAGTTTATTTCTATTTCGTACAATGCGTTCAGGTTTACGTATGTTGATTAAGAAAACATTTAATTATAATAAAAAATCTATTAAATTACTTGATCAATGTAAATATATATTTTTTCTATCATGTATTCGTTTAATTAAACAAAATAAACATCTATTCCAAAGTAATATTATTATAACAAGATGTTTACATATGATTCGAAAATTAAAATATTTAAATAAGCAAAGAAAAATTGATGTGAAAAAAGTTATTGGATCTGAATAAGTTACAAAAAAAAAACTGTTTTCTTTCTTTTTCTTTTTCTGTTATTTTTTTAAATTTTTTTTGCATTCGAAGAAAAAGAATATATACTTATATGAAATCAAATGAATCAATTGTTGTGATGTCATGTATTGTTGAAAAAGTAATGCCATTTACGTGAAGCAAAGTTTATTTGTTGCAACATGCCTAAAAAAGAGTCAGAAAATTCGTTGTTTAGTAGTCGTGATCTCGAGCATAACAATTTGCCAAAACATGAAACTAATCCACAAGAAATTCATGATATTAACCCACAAATACCTTATCCAGATGATTCTTGGGTAGATCAACCACCGGCTCATTGGCACTCATCAATGCAACATATGAATCATGATCAATATCCACCACCAATGGTTCATCATCAACCATATGATCATCAAACAATTCATCCTACCCATCCACAGCATCCACCAATGGCTCATCATCAACCATATGATCATCAAACAATTCATTCTACCCATCCACAGCATCCACCAATGGCTCATCATCAACCATATGATCATCAAACAATTCATCCTACCCATCCACATCATCCACCGATGACTCATCATCACTCATATAATCATCAAATCCATCATCCTGCTTATCCACAATATCCACCAATGACTCGTCATCAACCATATAATCATCAAATAATTCACCCTGGTCAACCACAATATCCACCTAATCCTGTAATGCAGCCTACTCAAGTTTCGAAAATGTATCATTATCAAAACTCGTCTTCTCTCCCACCTGCTCCGTTAGGCCGTACTCCATCTGAACCAGTTGCAGCTCCATTGGCTCCAGGTCTTTTCAATCATTCTTCTGTTCCTATTTCGCCTGGTCACATTCAACATCTTCCTCCTGGCGTACCGCCTCAATATGGTCAGCCTCCTTCACCATTACCACGTCATCATTCGCGTCGTCCGCTTTCACCATACTATGATGACATTCCTCATTTACCACCGTACGTTGCTTTTTTGTTTTTATTAGCTCTGATAATAAATCTTAAATATAACTTTATAGTATTCGAAGAAGGCATAGACCTCGAGAATATGATGATTATGGTCGATATCGTCATTCAGAACCTTTTCACAAGAGTTATTTGGGTCAACGTTATAACGATCATAGACATCGAAAACAAATGCGATGGTATGATTGATTTAATATTATGTTTGTTTCTCTTTTTTTATGATTTTGATGTTTGAACTATTCGGTAACATTTCTATAAATATAATAATTGTATTCATCGGTATGTTTATTCATCAATGAGAAATCGAGCATTTTTGTCTTATTTTTTGTTTCTATTATTATAAATGTATTGGTCATATGAGATATCAAAGTTTTGATTTTAAATATTCTTCTTAACATGTATCTATTAGTTCAACGTCGGTATTTATTAGCGCGTGCTAGAATTACTGCCGTAAACAACCACTCTAGAATAAACAACAAAATAATAACAGTAAAATCAACTCTTCTCTTTTAAATAGTTCGACAGCACAGTAAAAAAATATCATTTTTTATAAACAAAAGCTCATATTTAAATCTGTTCATAAACAAAATATATTTATTAACATTACATTAATGACTTATTGTACTTTAAAAATGTTAAAACTAATTTATTCAAGATTAGAACAGTTAGTGATTAGAGTGCGTATATTCGTCAGAAAAAGTATGTATCTGCTTCCATTAATGAAAATGCCAACTTTCAAGTCATAGCATTTCTCCTATGTGCAGTTAATGTACGTGAATATGTGACAGCGATTGAACGTGCATGTGTGGCTACAGACGTTGATGAGGTGAAGACTCCACTATTCACACTCTTTGTTGAAAAATAAATAATGTGAAATATATAACGGAAAAATTCAGTAATCAAAAATGCTATCAACCAACGACTATATTGTAGCATGATAATGAATATGACACATGATGCAATGGGAAGGTTTAACTTATTTTATCATATACAATTGTGCACCCTTGAAAAACAAGCTGAAACAAAACGAAAAAATGCATACTCAATAATACGCTTAGGCCAGCATATCAGACCATATGAATACGTGGGTCGAAAAGAACTCTTGAGAAAATGCTTCAGGTGTGATGCATTCGATAAGGAAAAACTTATGAATAAATGAAAATTAAATTTTCTAAAATAAATTTGTTTTTAATCAATGAATATGAAATTTTTTTGAATCAATGACTCTGTTTGACTCGAGTCAAGCAGTCAAGTCAGCGTGGCCCAATTTTTGATTCCGAATTATGACTCGGACTCGCCCATCCCTGAAATAAATTGATTTACAGTGATTTCTAGTAATAGAAATCAGTTTCTTTCCCTTTAGTGTAAAGTAAGAATTGATTTGTTCACACTTAAATGTTTTATATTATATAAATACTTTTATTAAATACAAAAAAGTCTATTTAACAGACAAGAAGTTCTCACGCATGATGATATTGACTTCTTTCTAGAGAATGTTTTCTCAGAAAAATGTTTTTCTCTTCTTTTTTCATATTTAATCTTCGAATAAGACAATAAATTTGTTTTATTTAAATAATAATCAATGTATTATTGCAAAAGGAAAATAATCTCGTAAAGATTTGAAATAAACTTTTCCGAATAAATAAATTTCATTTATTTTGGCACAATTAATTCGTGTATCATCTCTTGTAGAATAGTGTGTTACTCTTTCTAATGATTTATAATTGATATAAAGAAGAATATTATTACGACAATACAGTGGGCGTCATAAGTCTCGCCCCACTTTTGTATTTTGAGTCGTCCATTTGAATTAAACAACATTGATTTAATTTGATTATATATTCTTGTAGCGGAGATCGATCACTATCTGTATACACCTGTTCCATACGGAAAACTCTCTGAATATAAAATAAAATAGGCNTAAAAATAACTTCGATAAAAAGTGTCATCGAAGTTGTAACTTCTATAAAAAAATTCTATCGAAGTTATAACTTCGATAAACATGCTAACTTCGATACGACATATACATGTCACCCATATCTAGAATTAAATTTAAATTATAAATTAAATAAATTATTCTCAGAGAGAGATCGGTGTGTATTGCCAATCATCGAATTAAACGAATGTACTAAACGGAACACACATATGTATGAATGCGTGTGTTCTTGTTTTCAGCCGCAATGCGGACACTTAAAAAATATCTTCCAGAAAATTGATAGATGTCGTCAGAGAATTGACATCTATTCAGTTCAAACTGCATCGTAACGGATGAAACGAGTCCTCAAATCTCACATCGTCTCGTACCTGTCTCCCTGTCAAAAAATCTTGCCTCGCTCCACAGTAAGGCGATGTAATCCGGCGGTTTGCAGATCTATGCTTCAGACAATCTAATTGATTTGATTAAATAAAAGTAGGATTTCTTTTGTTTTGAATCGTTTATTTTATCATTTTTAGTTCATTTCAACGACTAATTCAAAGAAGTGTTTTTTTACTTTAAATTATTTATTTTTTATTTCGGATGTTGTTAAAGATTAAAGTCAATAAATTCTTTTTGTGGTGTCTTTCAAGCACATATTTTTGTTTTCATTTAATTTTTGTAAATTTTATAAATAAGTAGTTGACAAGACGTTGTAAACAATTATTGATGTTATAGTAATGTTAGCTTTAAGTAGTCAGAAATGAAACGCTTGATAAAGATGTGACTAATATCAGCTTCCACTTATATTTAAACAAGTGTAAGATGAAGATGGCCATCGATAGAATCACGAACTTCTTCAATATTTATTCGAATGTTCTGTCTATTACACATCGATCAGGTCATTGTTTATCTTCAACCTGTTCTCGACCGTCACGAAACTTTTTGATCATCTGATGACTGTAGTACTGTGATGTGAAGTTTGGTCTCCGAAAAGAATATAATTCTTCATGAATAACTTTCAGTTCAATATGAAGTATAGTACCCTACTGCAATGTAAGAAAAAAACTTTTCTTTATTGATGTCAAATAGAATTCCATAGTTCTCAATGAAATTTTTCATGTAAGTATGGCAACTGAATGATGATGATGATAGCGGAGACATATAGAGCACTGTTGGCATTATAAGGACATGTGGAAAGAAATTTCCTTTGCGGTTTGCATGGAGTAATATAATAATAAAATAACTACTTTTGTTACGCCCTAAGTCTATTGAAGAAACAACTTGAATGAATACTTATGTAACTTGCTCTTTGCTGCTAAAAGTTAGATAATAACAATCTACCCAATCTGAACTATGAGAGAACCTTCTGCAGCTTTTTATCTAATTGCAATCAGTACATGAAGGAACTATTAGTTAAATATAAAAATATGCGACATAATCTTTAAATGAGTTCCGGATTTATTCGTCGTTGAATTAACAGTGTTACACTATGCATGATTTCTCTCTCTCTCTTTTTTTTTCTAACCTCATCTATTTATCGATCGCTTTTCCATCTTTCGAATCATTGCACTTTGTAGAAGATCGTAAAATAAAAATATTTTCAAGTAGTTTTTGATCAAATGATCAGCAATTTTCCAAGCACGAAGAAAAAGAAAAGAAAAGTATTCATTCTTTCGATTTATTATCTTCGAAATTTTCATTTGAAATATTAAAAATAATTTGTATTTTATTGTTTTTGTTCTTGTATCATTTGTGTTGAAGAAATAAATTTATTTAAAGTAGTTAATGAAATCATTTTATCCATATGTAAAGGACAGCATCGTCTACGTTGACCCCATTCATCTAAACATTTTTTGTGATAAATACATAAACATTCAAGTCTTGCTACGATATCTTGTTGATAAAAAGGTTCAAAACATATGGCGCATTCTTGCTCATTATTAAGATTATCTGTAAGTATTTCTATATTATAGTAAGGTACGAGAAATAAATCAATAAGATGTTGTTGTTTTCTATCTATTGATGTTATTTCATATCTATTTTGCTGTTGAACAGGAGATTTATCATGAAAAATACGATATTGTGTCATATGAGAAGCATGTTGTGAACTATTGGTTAAATCAATAAGAGTAGATGTAGTATTTTGTATTCTTCGACGAATATTTGAATAACATGATCTATTTCCCATGCATGATATAAAATAAAGTGTGTATTAGCTTTTATTTATTTTTTTATTAAGTCATTAAATAAATGCGCGTGCAAAATTAGAAAAAAAAAAAGATTTTTTTTCTATTTTATGTTTCACTTTCGAAATGTTTGAAGACTCACGATTATTACATTAGATTTCTTTTTTTAGGAAATATTAGAAAAGCAATAAGAGATAAGAAAAAGAATCTCCATCAGTTTTAGTCTTTTAATCAGTAGATTTCTTTTCTTTTCTTCTTCTTTTTTTGTTCTTCATGTCTCATTCCTTAGAGTAGTTTGACTAGATAGTGATAATATTCAATCGATCTTATTACTAAAAGAAAAGAAGATTTATGAGTATACGCTCACATGCATTAAAAGAGACGACGCGGAAATGATTGTTTCTTTCTATCTCTAACACCCTCGATACTAATTCGATAGCTAGTTTTTATTGGTAATCTTTATCAATGGATAGATTCTTTTTTTCTATCTTTATCTATACGCATATATAAAGACACTAATCATCTCGATAATAATACTTCGAAACTATCGTTTGGAAGCGATCATTTGAAGCTCGATGCCGTTCATTATTCATTCATATAATTGTCGAGTGAGTCAAAAAGAAATAGATAATGAAACGAACATATTATTACTTCTAAAGTCGTTGCATTGTTTTTCTGCTTATTCATTTGGAAAAACATGTTAACGATACCGGTAACACCTCAGCGCGAACATAATACTATGACAATAGAAGTGCAACACAGTAGACAAAATTTAACTATGTAGATCTCGTTAATTTATAAGAACGACACGCAAAAATATAGCATATGTATCTCATTGATTGTTAAATCGATTTCTCTTTTATAATTGGTTTTAGATACATAATTCAAACACATGTTATTCCATATCACATATCCATGAACGTGAGAAACCTTGATTAGAATCTGATATATGATATTGTGTTCATGCCAATCATAGAGTTATGAATCAAACCGGAACATTTGCAGACATTAATTATGTAGAAAAAAATGATCTTTTTGTCAAACAAATAGTTGTTAGTTTTTAGTGAAAGCATTATAATTTTGTAAATTTCTCTTTTCTTCTTGAATACTAATAATAAACCTAAAAACAAGTAGATTACGAAGGAAAAAAAAGTCTCATATTTCTGTTCTATTTTTTTCTCGTTTTTCTTCCTTTCTTTTATCATTATATCTGTTTGAATTCAATGAATATGCGCAATAAATATTTTCTTTTCTTTTCCAAACTAAGTATTATAACTGAGAATAAGTATGATTTCGATTGTTTCTATTGACAAATCTCTCATTCCGATAAACTAAAGCCTACACATTATTTTTTTCCGCTATCTCTCTCTCACATATATATATATATATATATATGAAATTAATAAAAAGAATTAAGCATCTTATTTCAGATTTCTTCCAAAGCATCATTACTACAAAATGTACAGTAGTAGAAATTCAATCTTGCTTCTCGGAATTACTATATCCATACGTAAGATTCTTCTTAATATATGGTGTTGTTACTTTTTCTTTCTTAATTACAATTTATTTCATTGTTTCTAGTTCTTCTTTGGTGTACAGTTCAACCATCATATGCTGATGCAAATGAAGAAGAACATCATGTTATTGATAATACTGAAGAAGATAATAATATTGATGATGAAATTAATGATTTCGATAATTTATATCGCCGTGCATCATTACGTCCTTATGCTTTACAGCAACGTGCATCACTTCGACCATTTGCTGGTAAACGTGCATCACTTCGACCTTTCGCTGGTAAACGTGCATCACTTCGACCATTTGCTGGTAAACGAGCATCATTACGCCCAGCAAGTTATGTTGGCAAACGAAAACGTCGAAATGTTTTATTCTATGATGAATAATAAAATCAATTATCGTTTATTTTTCTCTTTCTTTGGATAACTAATATTATCTTCTCACTCATGCTTTCTCTTTATTTCGCTTACACAACATCGAAGAAATAAAAAAAAAAAAAAAACATAAATAAACTACTAACAAAAAAAACCTAGTTGACTTATCAACTTTAAAATAGAAAGTGTCAATGAATTTTTGTCTAAAAATAAGAACAAATAGAATAATGTCAGTAATATAGAAAGATTAAAAAGAAGTGAATTATGAATAATGACAGTTAAGAGAGTAGATGATGTCAACAAAATCATTTTTTTGTCTTCTATAGACCTTCGTTTTGTTAATTTGTTTCGGAAAAAAAAACAAAATTTAAATTACAAATGTTTCACACTGCATGAAATAATATAGAAAATTGTGGTGATAACTTTTGACATTAAGTGTAGGATGAAATACTTTGGAAAGAGTAAAAGTCAATTTTCTCGATGATTTTTTCCCTGGTCGAAGAATAAATCAATTTTCAAGTACATCAATGTGAATTTTTTTCCTAAAAGAAATAAAACTTTATTTCATTGTATACTGAAATCTTTTGGGTCCTTTTAGGATGTACATAAATTTTTTCTTTATTGAACAATAATTGAAAATGACTTCGACACGAATCAAGTATCAATCAGTGTCAAAACATATATTTATTGAGTATTCACATTTAACATGTTTAATCATTTTTGTTCCATTCAACATGCATAGCTACAAGAAAAAGCTAAATGCTCAAATATCATAACCATTGACTTTAAGAAACGAGGAATAGGTTAAATAAATTATCATGAATTTGCAACTAGATCAGAGTTGATAAGTTTTTATACGTGTATGTACAATGACTCGGAAAAAATTGACCATACAGATTTAATTTCAATTTTTTTCTCTTGATGGTTATTGACATAACAAATTCAAATAGTTATTTGAATAGAGAAATTCATTTTCAATATAGATTTTTGAGAAATAAATCCATCACAGTTTTCCGAAAATCTAAAGCCAATTTTTTTAGCAATCAGCAGCCTGAAATAAAAGTCTTTTTTATTATATAGGAGATGAAACAACTAATTCTCTTGAAAATGAGATGTCTTCGAGCTTCCCTTGACATCTTTTTGACTGAACTAAATCAATTATAGAAAAAGCCTAAAAGTGGCTTTTCCGCTATTTCCTATGAAAAAAAGGGACAAAAAGGGCTATTCTGCTTTTCTTTAAATTGATGTAGTTCAGTCAAAAAATGTCACCGAGAGCGTGAAGACATCTCATTTTCAAGAGAATTAGCTGCGTTATCCCCTGTGTAATGAAAAAAAAGAATTTTATTTTGAAGTGCCTGTTGCTGAAAAAGTAGACTTTGGGTTTTAGAAAAACTACGACGGATTTATTTTCCCTAATCTTTATATGAAATGAATTTCTCGGTCTAAATAACTATTTGGATTCGTTATATCGGTTACCATTAAGGAAAAATTGGACTTTAACTTGTATGAAAAGTTTTCAAAGCCACTTTGTCTGTAGAATCGATAAAAATTCATAATTTTTTTAGTGACGATCAATTGAAAACATGATGCTTTTAAAAGAAGAATTCACTATGGTCAAGTTAATTAAGTTATGACTGAAATGCACTGATGAATAGCATACACGTCAATAGAAAATCATGGTTAGACAAGCATCTAAAACGACAATACGCATGGGAATCATAGTCACAATAGGAATTAGAATATTTAAAAGTAGGACTATTAATATAGTATATAATTTTCTAGATTAATAAGAAAAAAAAACGAAATTAAAAATCATACCTAAAATTTTCAGTGAAGAACAATCAATACGAATAAACTTTGATAATCAAGAAACATGGATACACCTGAATAGAATATGAATATGTCAACAGCTGGATAATAATAATAAAATGATTAATAATGCGTTGACACAGAACATTCACATGAATATATGGTTGCGTTTATATAGTAAGAATACTATGAGCTTCCATTTGAAGTAGTGTCAAAAAGTATAAATACATATATATACTGATCAAACAAATATATTTTTTGTATAAAAAATTCTTATTCTTGTGTTGCCTATTAGAATAAACTTAGAAGAATTCTAGAAAACTCAAAAATTAAAATGATCAAGAGTATTAGTGATGATCTTTTATTTGGAAGAGTGATGATTTGATATAACTATTCATTTTTCGATGTTCAAATAGCAATAATCAAGAATAAGATCGTTAATTAAGGATAAAAATGGGGATTTTTCGTCGAAATCTTTTTTTAAAATCTTTGAATAGCATCATTCTTTTTTGCTGAAAACGAAACCTTTTCACTACTATCATTAATAAGAGTATTATGAACATAAGAGCAGATGATAAAAACTCAAACACAGTTTAATCAATCGAAACAATTATATATTTAGTCATCTAAATAAGAAGACAAATTGCAGGTATTCAAATGACAGCTAAGTGATTGGTAATATCTACATCTATCTTCATAGACGATGCACCAGCACTACAAAGGATAGCAATTGCTCCCGCTAAAAAGAATCCGAAAAAACAATAGGACCGTATTGCTCCTCCGAATTTTCACGCCTCATGTTTATACTTGAGTAAGATTAGTGAATCCAACATGCATACACATTCAATAAGGCTCTATATTACATGTAGGAGGATCGATTCATAGATTAATGATTTTGTTTATTGTTATCCTGATGAATACACTTTCCGTCATACATATCCACCATGATTATTTTGAACTTTACTTGCCAGAATAAGCGATCTCAAAGTTTATCACTTGATCAAGATTAATGGCATGATCGTAAATCGGCTTCCATATTTCTAAGACTGACTATATGACACCTAATGACTTTCATCAAAATGATTGAAGTCTGATTGGCCAACATATAATGATCGAAACGTAATGATTAATCTGCTTTGTTGTTTGTTACCAATAATAGTGGACTTGATACTCGGTATTCGTAGCTTTTTGTGTTCTTTTTAACAGAATTTATAATTTAGGTTTTAAATTTAAAATTAAGATGTCTGAAAAAATATCTGTCAAAACTTATCTATTACTTCGAAATCAAAGAGACGATCAACCAGTTGCTAACAATACTTAACAGATGTGCTAGAATAAATGAGTCCGTCAGTATTTTGTTAACATCTCTGTCATCCATAGACAAATATGTGCCATAGAAGTAAAAGCAAAACATATATTACATAGAGACTGTAAACATGTATCATTAACAATTTTCAAACACCAAAGTCAGTTTTCTCGTACTAAGGCGTGTGCACGTTGAAATATGAATCTAGTCGTTTTGCAGGATTTGAAAAAGCTCATCATGAAGATGGATTCACTAATTTGTACAACAAACCTCTATTGTACACAGTAAACTTGACTTTTTTAGATTTTCATTACAGTACCGTTTTTGAAAAATTGATGTCATTCTATCAAAAACATTCTTTTCGAAATGAAAGTTGTTTTTATTTAAAAGCTACTGGATTATGCTATAGAAACCTACTTAATTCAGAATAAATGCTATTTTCTCTCGATTAGGTTTAAGCAAAGAAGCCCCGATATAAAAGATTTGGATCTGTTGTTCCAACACTTTGTTTTAGGTTGATACGTTATTGTCTATGTACTATTAAATAGCGTCCAGTTTATCATACTTGATATGATGTTGTGAAGCGTCTAAACAGTCCCAGGTCGAACTCATCCCATCGGATTCGATATATGAAATCCGATTGCTTTTTCGATAGGATCCGACGAGATCCAACCGTCAGATTGTTCGTCCTGGGGTGCTTCATTAGTGGAAGTAAAGCACAAATCAGTTCGTATATTTGTATATGAAAGTTGTTAATGAAATATATTCGCCGTGTTTATGCAATAACTTTTTTGCTTTTACTTCTACGGCAAAAATTTGTTCAAGATTTTTTAGACAATTGAACGCTGAGTCTTTTAAACTGAAATTTAATCCACAACTATTAAAATTGACAAAGAGGTTGGCAAATAATAGGCTCATTAATTCTACTGCACAGAATAAATACTCAATTTCTAGACAACCTTTTACTTCAATATCAAGACAAGAGAACACAATAGTGAGTAAACGGAAGGTAATGGCCAAAAAGATTTGAATTTTTCATGAATCTTTTGTCCACAAAAAGTTTTATACTGATTTGAAGCTCGTAATATATACTGCCAGATGATGCAGCACTCAAAGACGTTTATAACTTTCATGATGGTATTTGACCAAATAACGGGATATATGTAGGTGTGCAAAAAGAGACTTCTTCTCCTTGATAGTGTACATATTTTCAAATTCTACTGCATATCGTAGATATTGATAGATGACGTTACATTCGCTGTATTTTTGTATTGACACAACGAAGATGGCACCATATATCGATATTTCTACGCTACGCAATAGAATTTCAAAACACCTACATTATCAAAGAGAGGAAGTTTTTCTTTAAAAACCTGCATATGTCCCGTTATTTGGCCAATACCTTATAATCATCTTTTCATATATATTTATATGTCATATCTGTGAGAAAAATCAACTTCATGTGACAAAGATTTTGCTGCTGAAATGTCTACTATTAGGCGGAGCAAAGACAAGTAGATCTCCCAGATCAAACAATCCCATTATAAGATATTATGAAAGCTTATTGTATGATCTTTTATGGTCATACTAGATCGAATGAAAATCATATATGATGTTGTATGATTTTATATATCAATCTTAAAACAAGATCAACCAACCATATGGTAAGATCATACTTCTGATGCTGATGTTGTCTGATCTTACAAGATCAGATGGAAAGCGCACGAAAAATCATCGTCTCTGAAATCTTGTACTAAGTCAATTAATAATATTCTTAAAAGACATTGCTAACTTTTAAAGCATTATTATAAGATTGTAGAAAATATTTGGGTGTCGGTCAGATCTTTCAAGAATTCTATTATACGATATAGCCTAAGATTTCAGAAACAATAATTTTTCGTACAGTTTTCACAAGGTTTCGTCTCATTTTTGTCCTAAGATTTGATAAATATAAAATCTCATAGTAAAATATTTGTAATATTGTATAGTATAAGTTTTACGACATCCTATTGTCAATAAGATCTTATACAGTCTTCATAAGATTTTCGCACCTGTTCTATTCAAAATTTTATTGCTTTCCCGAAAAAAATTGATTTTACGTCGTCCATGTCTATCGTTGTGAATAAATGTACGGAACATATCCTAAATTTAAGGTCAGTATTTATTTGAAAAAAAAAATACGTATTTTCATTTGCTATAAACTCATTAGAATTGAATTTAAATGCAATACAGATATATAAATTATACTAGTTGTCCTCTTTTTTTTTATTGGTCAAATCCTGTTACAAATAAAGATCAGATCAGTCTATTTAGTTTAACTTTATGAATCAATAAAAGAAAAATATCACCAAGAAAACAAAATACAATAAACCGATCATAAACAAACAAATAAAAAATCATCACTCTTAACAATCTAAATAAAGCAACGTTAAAATCTTGATTGAGGAAAAAAACTGTGTAATCGACTTAACTAATTTCCTAAAAATGTATAATAAAATGTTATTTGAATTTAGAATTATCTAAAAAACAACTTGATCATTTTGCTTTTGAATTGACGTCATTAAGTTTTTTATCAAGTGTTTTTTTAACTTCAGTTATAAAATCTCTTGTATTTAAATACATGCCTTCTTTGGTACTAAAAAGAAAAAAGAATATGGTGAGCAATAAAGAACAACCGATGGATTATAATTAATCGAACTAAATGTAAATGCAACTTTTCTCTTAGTTAAACTTATTTATATATGAAAAGGTTGAGAATATCAAGCTTTACAAATCTAAAAAGTTCAGTTTTTAGAAAAACATTTTGCCTTTGCGTGATAATCTAAATATTTACATATCCTTTATACTTCTATCGCGACTCATCGTTGGTCGTGCTTTGCAAAAATATGAAGAATCTTGAAAACAAAGAATTTTATACCAAAAACATAGAGAAGTTCGTCCTCTATTCTGGTGATCCATTTTCGGAAATCTAAATTTTACGTGTGAATTAAAAATCTCTTGAGAATAAGATCCATAGTGATTTTTTTAACGAATAAATTTTTTTTTGAATTGAAATCCAGTTATAATGTCCTTATTCAGATACCAACAGAATTTCATTCTCTACAAGACTATATGGCTGATAAACAAACAGTGTGACATGTTTTCGTTAAAATTCACGATAAACCGAGCAAATCTTAACATGAATGTACAACTGTTTTTTTTCTCCTTTTTTGTGCTCAGAATTTTTCCATGAAGCTATCGTTTAATAGTTTGAAAGATAGATGATTTTATCGAGAAAATTTTTGTGATTTTTAGAAACCTAATGAATTTCTCAGTGGTGATGTCACATGTTTGTTTTTAGTTCGACGATAGGGAATGATACAGTGTACCTCAGTGTGTTGCTTGCTTTGAAATAAAAAAAAAGCTTCTTTATAAAAGTAAAGCGCATAGTTTTGTAGAGCTTGAAGTTCTCTTTTATATGAATAATAAATGATTGAAATTTTGCATTTACAATCAATTTGATTCATGATGATCCATCCGATATTTTTTCTAAATCATACTTATTAAGACCATGAATGCAAATAGCAAGATCTTTCGTCATTTTTTGTGAATTAACTGTTTCGATACAAGATTCTTCAAGTAAATGACACCAACTAGATGAAAAAACAACAACAAGAAGATTCAAAAAGATAATAATAAATTTTATCAAAAAAAAATAAAGCTATACCGTTTAAGTTCTTCATTTCCATCAAGTTTACCACGATGTTCAAGACCACGTGTCCATGCAAATATACTTGCTATTGGATTTGTACTTGTGGCTTTTCCCTAGAAAATAAAAACAAAAATTATCAAAAAAATTCTTTTTTTTACTTATTCATTCATTTTACCTTTTGATGTTCACGATAATGTCGTGTTACAGTACCATGAGCAGCTTCAGATTCAATTGTTTTACCATCAGGACAAATAAGTACCGAAGACATAAGACCAAGACTACCGTAGCCTAAAACAAATCAATAACAATAATATTAAATTCTTTTTGTCAAATACCTTGTGCAACAATATCCGATTGTACATCACCATCATAATTTTTACATGCCCAAACAAAACCACCACTACTTTTAAGTGCTTGTGCAACCATATCTACATAGAAAACAAAAGTTGAATTTTGTCATGTAATTATCCATCAAACAGAAACATACCATCAATTAATCGATGTTCATACCAAATATTCTTTTGTTCAAATTCTTGTTTATATTGTTTTTGATAAATTTCTTCAAATATATCTTTAAAACGACCATCATATCGTTTAAGTATTGTATTTTTTGTTGACATATATAATGGATAATTCTACGAAAAAAAAATTAATATTAATTTATATTAGAAATCAATTGTTTATTTTTCGTGCTTTTTTAAGTGCATATTGAAAACATGAATGAGCAAATCCTGTTATTGATTCATCAGTATTATACATAGCTAATGTAACACCACCAGTATTTGTAAAATTATATACTTCAACTTCTGTTTCTGGTGAACCATCTGCTGGTGTATATTTAAGAGTAATGCGTCCAGGATTTTTAATAACCATATCTTGACATCGGTATTGATCACCAAATGCGTGACGACCAATTATAATTGGTTGTTTCCAACCAGGAACTAATAATGGAATTGATTTACATATAATTGGTTCACGAAAAACTGTACCACCCTAAATTACAAAGAATTTTTTTTCTTTGTTCTGTTTTTTTTTGTGTTAAAAATATGACTTACAAGAATATTACGAATAGTTCCATTAGGTGAAAGCCACATTTTTTTAAGTGAAAATTCTAAAAAAAAAAGTTTATTTAAGAAATTACTTCGACAAATATATTTAGTTATTTATTCTACCTTTTACACGTTGTTCATCAGGTGTAATTGTAGCACATTTAATACCAACATTATAACGTTGAATAGCATGTGCAGCTTCAATAGTAACTTGATCGTCAGTGGCATCACGATTTTCAAGACCCAAATCATAATATTTGCATTCGACATCAACATAAGGAAAGATTAACTATAGGGAAAATATTCTTCTTTTTTTCCATTAGAAAAATTTAGAAACGAACCATTTCTTTAATCCATGCCCAAATGATACGAGTCATTTCATCTCCATCCAATTCAACAATTGGATTATCTACTTTAATACGTTTTTGAGATGTAGCATTCGAGCCTAAGATGAAACAATTTCGTTTTTACGCACAAATATTGTATTCAAAGAAAATATGTTTAGTACTTTGATGGTCAACGTTTTCGGATGATGACATTGTTAAAATGATGTTTGCTTAAGGACGAAACAAGCAGACTTCTCGCTTAAGTACACTGCACAAAAAGAAAATATCAAGTAAGAGTGAGGCCATCGTACGAAATGAAAGCACACGGCGATAAAATGTTACATATAAAAGAACGATAAAAGAAACAAGGCAATCGATGAAGTAAAGAAACGCAAGAAAAAGGAAATCAAATATGAAGAACAGTCCAAGTGCTCTGTATGCATGCGTATGTGCCTATTTGTATAGGAAAATACTTTAAGAGAACAAGTTTAAAAATAATCATAATTGGATTTCTATGAAGAGAAATTATCACTATATTATCATTGAAAATATTAAAAAACGATTTTTTTTGGTTTTGTTTCAAATCAATTTAGAGGCAAAGGTTTGATAGCTATGAAAACTATTGACCAATACATTGAAAGATTTCATTCCCACACATCTTACATCATTTCCATTGCAGCTAGGAAAAAACCCAGTACATTAAAATATATATATATTACATCCAAGACAATCAAGAATCTGTTTCTTTCGTCATTCTAACAAATTTATCTTTTATTCTAGATGTCTAATACAAATACTTTCTCATCAAGTGTACAAACATATTATCCAACAGAAATACCATCAAACTGGATTGATTGTCCAAGAAAATCAAATATTATTGCTGGTAAATATTATTAAATTAATTTATTTTGTAATAATTTTTACTTTTTATACATAGGAAAATTTATTGCATTTAAAACACCATTAGATGATCGATATAAAACTGAAATTCCTATTCATAAACTATGGACATGTAATATGTTAATTAAACACATTAAAGATGATCAAGTATAATTTTAATTTTTGTTGAAATATAATATTTATATATATATATATATGTATATATAGAAAAATCTTGGTCTTGTTATCGATTTAACAAATACAAAACGATATTATAGAAGTGATATTGAATTTATTCAGAAAAATATACATTATGAAAAACTTTCATGTCAAGGGTAAGAATTATTTTCTAGGAATATGCCATTAAGAAAAAAATAAATATAAAATACCAATCATTTTGAATGAGAATTTCTATTTAACTAATAAAAAATTTAAGAAAAGATTAATTCGAACCAACTATTAGTTATAGTTCTCTAAGAGAATGAATCAAATCGAATTAGTTTGAATCATGCACAGAAAATCTTTTGAAAAATTTCCCTTGCTAACATTTGAAGACACATCTGTGGGAAAAAGATCAGTCGACCATTCGCGAGTCAGTTGGCATAAATACATGAAGAAACTCTGTCAGGAGTGTGTGGGGCTGAGATCATAGATATTTATCGGGACTTAGAATTTTTCCCTGTTATCATAGTATATTTGAAATATCTTCTGCGTTGCTGACGCCGTCGCGGTAACAGAAGGCCGAAACTACTGAATGAGCTTAAACCTCCACTCGAAAGGATCAGGGAAAGAAAACGAATGAATGAAGATTAAAATTCATCATATTGAGATACTAATCTAAAATTTGGATTTAATCAACTCTACATAGTACAAAGAAACTTTAGATTTTCCTTTTGTTTTCAATTTCTGATTGTGATTTTTATAGACATAATGAAGCACCAAGTGACGAACAAATTGATTTTTTTATTCAAATTTGTCATGATTTTATAAATACGAATCCAAATGATATTATTGGTATGATTAATTTTGTATATTCTTTATTTAAATTTTTCTCATAGGTGTTCATTGTACACATGGTTTCAATCGAACAGGGTTTCTTATTTGTGCATATTTATGCCGACAACTTGATTTGAGGCACGAAGACATTAAGAGATAGTTCATTTTTAAAAAATGAAATTGATTTTTCATTTTTTCAAGTATCAATGTTGCTATCGATCTGTTTGCAGCAGCTCGATCACCAGGAATTTATAAACAAGATTATTTAGATAAACTTATTGAAAAATTTTCTACGAAGAATTTTATATCAATTCTTGCACCATTACGACCTGTATGGTGTTTAGGTAAAAAAAATAAATTTTATCAATATTTTTGTTTTCAATTTTATTATAATTCATTATTAGAAAATAAAATTGTTACATTAAATGAAAAGAAACGTAAATACAATGATAAAGATGATCAAAAGCCTAATAAAGTATTTCATCAACAAGTAAGATTTATTTTTTAAGAAAATATTTGTCATTAATGAGATTATTTTAGAATTCTAATCCTGTATTTGCTGTTGATCTTATTGATGTTAAACCTATTTGTTTTCAATCTATTATTGATAATATTCGATTAAAATGTCAACAAATGTGTGGATGGAATCGGTAACTTTAGAAGAAAAAAAAAAACATTTTTTTTATTTCACTTTTAATTTATTTTCTTTTAGATCAACTTTTCCAGGCTCACAACCTGTATCAATGGATTATACAAACTATCAAACTATATTTCTATCACCTTATATGGTTAGCTGGAAAGCAGATGGCACCAGGTAAAATAAAAAAAAACATGCAGATTTTTTTGCGCAACACGATCAAAAAAGGAAGGTTGAAATGTATAGGATAGAGATTTGCACGCTTCCCCCTCCCTCCCCTTTCTCACAGACTATGAAAGAAAGTCACTGATACGTTAGAAGCAGCTTATTGCAAATGTGACAGATGCCTTAACAACACTTCCCTCCTCTACCCTCCTTTCGCCTTATAGACTGTGACAGACGTTGTTGATATACGATGAAAGACTGTGTATCAATTACATCCCGTTACGACTTCCGTATTAAAGAAATGTGTCAAAAAATAGATTGAACAAAGCAATCTTTCTGTAATTAACCTCATCAGTTATATTGTGTTTCATATTTTAATCTCCCCAGAATTGCGCTAATAACGTTTTTATTTTGAAATATTATTTATTTTAAATTTTAAATTATAGATATATGATGTTAATTGAAAGTGAAAATAAAATTTATATGTTAGATCGCAATAATGATGTATTTCAAATTAATCATCTATACTTTCCAAAAGATTCAGATTGTACAAGACATTTAACAAATACATTAATTGATGGTGTATGTTTTCTTAAGTTTTTTAACAATGAATATATTTATTCGATATTTTTTCTTGTTATTATTAGGAATTTGTTATTGATAATGATCATGGAATTAAAATATATCGATATTTAGTTTATGATATTGTCATATATGAAGTATGTTAAATAGAATTTATTTTATTTTATTAAAAATAATTTTATTATATTACATTTAGAATGAGAATGTTGGTCAACGATCATTTACAGAACGTCTTGATATAATACGTCATTCTATTGTTAATATTAGAAATGAAGCTATAGCAAAAGGTCATATTAATAAAAGTTTGGAACCGTTTTCAATACGAAATAAAGAATTTTGGGACTTATCAACAACATCTAAAGTAAGAAAATACAAATGAATTTATTCAATTCAAACATGATCAAGCACTTAACATGAAAAAACTATTTCCATATAATGTTTTTATTTTAGTTACTTAGTCCAGCATTCCAATCAAAAATCTCTCATGGATGTGATGGACTGGTATTTCAACCCGTACCTAGTGTAGGTTGAAATTCATTCTATTTTTGAAAATTACACATGACTTTAATATTTTATAGCCTTATCACTCCGGACGATCTACACATGTATTCAAATGGAAAGAAAACAATACAATTGATTTTCGATTGCAAATTCGTCAAACAAGGTATGTAAACAGTTGTTTGTTATTATAGAAGCGAAATATTGAAGTAAACGATAGAAACTATATTACCAATGGTAAAATAATTGGAAATCGTATTTTGACATTAAACATCGAGATAATGTTTCAACTAAGTTATGCACAAGAAGGAAAAAAGCATACTTCCATAATATACAAAAGTACTAAGTAGTTCTATGAAATATTTTCTGTAAGATCATTATAGTTATTGTATAAAAGATAATTAAGGAAAAAAGCTACAGAAGCACGCAGACATATGAAGAAGTTTGATGCAGTGTTTTATTCAGGTTTTCTCTTCCGGTGGAGCCATTCAAACTTCGAAAGGATGAACATCTACTTTCGAAAAGACAAAAACATAGTATATAACACAATAATTCTAAGTTTTCGAATAGCAAACTCGATCTATTGAGGGACGTTGCTATTCTGACCTTCATGCTGGATAAAACACTGATTTGGAGAAGAGTAGACAATTTTAATACACATAAAAAATTTCAAATAGAGATATCAAATGTTGATATATCGTTCGATTTTTGTTAAATAGATTCTTGAATAGTATTTGCTGATGATTGGTCATTGTAGGCTCCATTGACTACATTCTCTAGTTCAAATTATGACTTTGAATTTTCTTTATTTTTCTTTTGGATAATAATTCATACTAGCTTAATAACGTTCTCATCTTGTCATTGATAGATTGTCACAGTGATAATGTGAATTAGAGAATGTGTTTAAAAAAAATTTCAACGTATGGATAAATTCATGGGTATTGAAATCATTTTTCTGGAAAAAAATTTTTTTTTGTTCTCAAGTTTCAATGTGTTAGTTACGTGAGAGAGGTTTTTTTTAGAAAAAAGATCTAATTAAGAAAGTTTTACTGCTAATCGCCTGAAATAGTAGAAGTTTCGAGCGAGTTTCTGGGAAAGGTTCTATAAGTAATTCCAAGATTTCCAGTCTATATTTTACTAGACGTGCAACAGCTCTCAGTTCTATGAATCTTTTCTTTCTCGAAAACGAGTCCTTTTTTAGGTCTATGACAGCTGAAGTTTATAAGTTCTGGTGGACTGTCAGAGATGAGATTGGTTCGTGCTTTTTTTGGAACCGAGTCGATCCAATCTCTGTAAACTGTTCAAAAAAAAAAATCTTGGGATAATTCTCAAGATAAGATCGGAACTAATATGAAACTGTCCTAGATCTATATTTTACCTATTAGTGGGGTACCATTATACTAGTACAACTGCCAAAAAATTTTATCTTTATTTTATTACTGAGATTTGAATGTTTCAAAACGTACCTTAGAAAATCACTCGAAATTTCTACTATTGCATGCGAAGACCAGTAATTTTTTTCAATCTAATCTATTTTCTAAACCAAATTGTAAAAAACATAATGATGATTTGAATGCTTGAAAGGATTTATGCATTTTCTTCGATCAATAGACTAGAGACAAATACTATTATCAATAATAAAAAATGTCATTTCAGAAAAAAATGAATTTCATATTAGAGCATACCTGAAACTCATCAAATAATTTAATAAGAATCGAAAGAAAAAAAAATTATAATTATATCATCTAGAAAAATAATTTCCTATTTTTTAGAGGATCACAAGAAAAAAATGCTCTTCTATATGTTCATGGCATGTCAAAGCCATTTGCATCCATGCGTTATTCACCAGAATTAGATCAATATAAAAATCAAATTATTGAATGTTATTATCATAGTGGTGAATGGTATCTTTATCGACATCGTCCCGATAAACTATATCCTAATGCACTAAGTATGTTTTATTTATAGAAAATTATTTTTCATTATAATTTTGGTCATTTTTCTTGTCATTTATTTAGCGACAGCCGATGGTAAATTTATTAATTCTTTTAGTAATGATCATATTTATTTATTTTTCTAGGAGTAACTACAGCAATAAAACGTCCAATAACTAAAGATATACTTTGTTCTCTTATTGAAGAAAATATAGCGTTTAATAATTATTAAAAACCAATGATATATATAGAATTATTTGTAATATAAAGCGTTGTTTTTTTTTTTTTAATCTTTTTGTATTTTTATTATTTTGTTTTGTTTCTATTTTGATAATGAAAAGTATTAAACCTAACAGGTGACATATATGTACATCAATCGTATAGATTGTGTATGTTTGTTTGTTTTTCCTTATGAAAAACCCAGTGATAATAGTAAATAAAAAAAAAAACTTGTTAAAACTTGTCATATTTTTGGAATTTAATTAATTGAATACAGTTTTATTCTTGATGAATTTTAACTTGAAAAAAACCCTATCGGAAAAAATTGGATTTAACTGTCTAATAAGTACACCATTAAAGAATTTTATGATTCATAAGTTAGAATGAATTGCTCGAAATATTTTCTGTTGAATATGAAAAAAAATAATCAACAGTCATAAGTTATTTCTCGCATTGATTAGATCATGTTTCAATAGATTCTTGACGAACATAAAAAGAAACCAGTCTATTGTATAATCAACAACTTCACAAATGTGTCGGAAATGAAATTTTTAATATTGAATGGATTTTACATTATTGTATAGATTTTAAAGTGGATTTTATGATAAACAAGAAGAGCTTACTTTTATTTTATATTATTTATATACATTGAGTAGGTTTACTGTTAAAAACTTCAACTGTTTATATATCATAGACCGGAATTCCGATTTCCAGAAGAATAGAAGAATGAATATATGTGCTACAATTTGATCTTTTTTTTATTAATTATATCATAATTATAAGACAATAGTATGCAGTAGTATTGGAAAGAAACACATTGTATTGATTATTCCGTCTCACAAGGATAGATTTATTGTTCATTAATAACTCATGAAGAATCATAGTTCTTCATTAAATTTAATAATCATTCTTCAAAATAGAATATTTGAATGTTTATATTGAAAACAGAAACGAAGAAGTTAAGTTAAATCTAAAAATACATGCATATGTATGTCTTGCCGAAATGACTTCTTTTTTCGAAGTTATTAAACATTATTTAAACAACAAAATAATTCTCAATCGATTAATAATATAAATCTAGATCTTTTTTCATGTTAATATAACATGCATTCAAGTTTTCAAGAGGTAATAAATAATGGAAATACCATTGAGAAAAATTGTGAATCAAAAGCTTTCCGAAATACTTTTTTCGTCAATATCTCTCAAGATTTGATTAAAATTCCGACATATATTTGACTGTCTAATAGGGAAAAATTAGGACAAGGGGGTTAGTTACGACGTGCTATATAATACCGAAACAGTAGTCTTGAAATTTAGATAAATATAATAAATTAAGAAATAAGTTTTAGAATTCTATAGCTTTTCAGGTCGCATGTCATTGTCACTTTCTTATCGGCTAATTATAATCTCATTAGATTTTCCATGTCAATCTGACATATTCTTTTATTGAAGTATCCCTATGGCTTTATTTATTCAAAGTTGATATAAAAATAGTTCTAAAACACAATAAAAATTATTAAATCAACTAAACTGACGTGTTTGTACTCCTTGACAGAAGATGTGATCTTAAAATAGTTGATTTTGCTCATGCGTAAAAAGCTTTTTACATTAACTATCATATTGAATCTTATTTCAAGTTAGAAAACTAACTATATTTATACATTTTATTTAGTATATCGTCAATTGATTGATTACTATTTTGCTGTATAGATGATGTTGAATAACTTCGACAAAAAATGTAACGTAGGCACGATGTATATATATATATGCACAGTAGCTCCACAAATTGACTACACAGATTTAATTTCGATGTTTCTCTATAATAGTAGCTGCTATAAAGAATCCAATTAATGATTTGAATAGTAAAATTTGTTTTGAACAAATATCTGGGGGAAACAAAATCCTCAAAGTATTTGCAACATCCAAAGCATAATTTTTCCGCAGTTAAAACTCAAAAATAAAAGTTTTTTTTCGACTACACAAGATAATAAAATAACTAATTCTCTGAAAAATCAGATACCTACAAGTTTTCCATGACATTTTTTCACTGAACTACATCAATTTAACGAAAAACACAAATTCTTTTTTTCTCCATAGTACATTGTACAAAAAAAAGCACTGTCGAATTTTTCTTAAAAATAATGTATTTCAATCAAAAAAATGTTATTAGTCATATTATTTTTGGAAAGATCTTTCTCACGAAACTTTAACAAACAATAGTTACGCTTTCATATGGATTGAAGAAACAAGTCTTTTGATAATTTGTCTTCAATAAAAGAAAATTTACTTCAATTTTGACTTACCAATCTTTACTTGATTGATACTTCGGTGGGTGTCCTGCTTCAAAAGTATCTTATCAACAATTATTTGAAGGTACTGCTTAGATACTCACTCCGATGCTGATGCACAGTACTTTTAGGTACTTGATTGGAGAAGTTTCAGTATGTTCGTCTCCAGGAAACGAGGAAGAGTTTAATGAAAAAAACAAGCATTAATAACGCGATAAAGTTGCTGAAACTGTGATTTTGAGGTATCAGATCACATAAATTAAAAGAAAAAGATTTAATATATTTCTGAAAATAGAAAAGCATGATACTTATCGTATCACAGAGCTGAATAAGTCTGACAATGAATATTTAAGTAGAAATCTACAACAGGCACTTAACACAAAAGATAACGTATATTACAAAAACTCAAGAATTATTTCACAATCATCGCGTATTAATAACAATTTATCAGTATAGTTTCTACGTTAATATTTAACACCATTCACATGAAATAATTTATCGAGATCAACATCATTAGTAGCATTGTATGGTTGTTCTGAAGCTACATTGTTGGCTCGAAATAAAATATATGAAGATGATTGATCATTAATCAATAATGAAATTTGTCATAAAAACGTTCATTTCAATATTGAATATATGTATCATCACTACTACTTTTGACAGTTTCTCTAAAAAAAACTTCAAGATATCTAGAAAAAGAATTTTCATAATACAGAATAAAATTCAATGTGCCCAATTGATCAGGACTATTATGGGCGACGATAATAAAAACTTAAATGAAGAAACACATCAATGCTTTATCTTTAGTAATTCTCTCCTCGATTTCGCTATTTAGTTTCAGTTCAAACAACAGTCATCACAGATAAATATTATTATCAATGAAAAGATGATCAACTACTTTATTTTCTTGTACAATATGGTTATGTTAGTTCGCATTTACATGTTCTCCAAATTCTATCCTTTTTTAATGCAAAGAAAAAACAATAAACTCAACAGTTGCTTATTTCTCTGTTGATAGATGTCAATTGTCTTCTTTGAAAAAAAAAGTACCGATCGCTATTAAATACAATCAATTACTTCAGTTTGTTTAATTGTCGTTTAAAATAGCAAAATAAAAAAGAATTCATGACAAAACTAATGTGAAACCTCTTAAATGTCTTTAAATTCACACAATTTAAGTTTTGCCAGAGTACGTTTGTGTTCTCTTTTATACAGTCCGTCATGCAAAAGAGTAGAAAAAAGTAAGGTATTCTGATAGATTTTCCTCAGTATATTTATCTCTATAGATAAACATACAAGTACTCGCTCAGTACACACATAACTGATATGGGCACCAAAGAAAGTACCTGAATCAGAATAACTATTGAAAATTTTCTAAGTGCTCACATTGAGTACTTTGCTGAGACTTTTTCAGTACATAGGTATCTTGAACTCAATACTTTTTCTAGGCCTTTCAGAAGAATAATTTTGAGCAAAACAACTAGAATTGTTCATATCTAATAGCAAACAATGATTATTGACACGTAAAAACTTTTATTATATATAATACACTAATGGGCAATCATTTTCACTTACAAATCATTATCTATATATGTGTGATTGCTTTTATATTCTTACAAATAAAATATCATATCAAATGATATTTAATGATAAATTCTCTTTTTTTTTATTGATCAAAAAGTATCGACACTCGTTTGTTGTTTTTTTTTTTAATCTGAAAAGGTCGAATAAAACCTCATTAATCAAAACACTGATCTCTCTCTCTTCTCAATTTGAAGTGTGATCATAGCAGATGTGTATCAATTTATCAATTGAGATCACGTCGCGTTCGTTTTCTCTCTCTCTCTCGTTTTCCGCTTCTGTGTCAATGATATCTGTTTCCTTGTTTTTTTTATACGACAAATGATCGAACAGAACAAGTAACATTGTGCGTGTTGTTTACATATGTTTAAAACGTGTACATATTTAATGAACAATCCAGATCATAGATAGACAAAAAAGAAAATCAAATATAAATGAAAAGAGAAAAAAAGAAGAGAATTTTTTTTTATTCGTTAAGTTCTTGTTTTATTGTTGTTTCAATTAATTTTGATTTTGTATTTGGTAAATTATGATCTTTCTTCCATTTCATACGTCGATTTTGAAACCAAATCTTTACACACACAAAAAGAAAAGGTAAATAAATAAAAACAAAAAAAAAAAAAAATATTTATTAATTTAAAATTTACTTTAACTTGTCGTTCTGTTAATATTAATGTTCGTGCTATTTCAATACGTCGTCGGCGATTTAAATATTTTTTAAAATGAAATTCTTTTTCAAGTTCAAGAATTTGACTACGTGTATATGCTGTACGAATTCGTTTATATGTTTCTGTACCATCAGTATTTTGAACAAGATTTTTAACATGTAATTTTTTCATCCAAGGATAAATTATACTAGTTGATATTGTTTCATTATTAGTTTTTGTCAAACTTAATTTATATATTCAATAGAAAATAAATACAAAAAAAAATTGAAAGTGTTTTGTGTCTTACTCGGATGCACTTGAAATACTATTTGTATGAGATGAAGGACCGCCTTGACTTGTATTATGTTGATTAAATGTTGAATAATTATTATAATGAGTTGAATAAGTATTAGATGCTGATGGACAACAATTTGATGGAGTATAATAATCATAATATGAAGATGATGAAGAATTAGGATGAGGAGGACAAGAACTTA